TTGGGGCTGATATTTTTGTGTGTGTTGTATAGCAGACACACGGAGAGACTACAGAGAGGCAAGCGGGAGGCAGTTGTGGTTAGGGAGAATAGTAGCAGCTACTTCCTTTTCGATAACTACAGGTCTTCCTAGTAAGAGTGGTCGTTCAGAGAAATCTGCTTTGCCCCCTGTGCTATAGATGTAGAATTACAGTAGTAGAATGAGATAAGAGATGCTTGATAGGTATTGCCTTAGCCAATCTGTCTCCATCTTCCACCAGTTAGTCTATATATTGCTGTTTCAAATGCTACGTGCTATGAGGTTGTGTCTCACAGGTACCTACTGGACTAGTGACACACAGCAGACCCGCACTTCCCAGCTTGCACTATTTTGTGAAGTATAAAAAGTAGCAAGGTTTGCTGTGTATGTCTTCTCCCGCTGGGTAAAACTAGGACTGCTCACTCTGCTCTGTGGTTACATTTGATTTAAAAACAAAACAACCCTCACCCCCCTGCAATTTTAGGAAACTTTGCTTGAAATTTAAAATTTCCCTTTTAATTTTCTTGCTTTATAGGCCAGTGTGTAATTTCAGGATTGCCATACTCACCCAGTACTGCTTCTAGAAAAGAAGTTCTGAATACCAGCAGTAAGGATACCCCACACTATCCTGGATGCTGAGCTATTGGTGTAGGTTCAAAGCTTGTGCAAGCATCATGATAAGCTAAAAAGTCCGTTGTTTTTACTGTAGGCCAGGAAAGCCTGAAATCTGTCTTTTAAAGGGAGAGGAGAAGGTGGGGAAGTTCCACTGCACAGCTAAAACTCCTTACACTAGCAGAACTGTTTAGTGTCCATGCTATTTTACACACAAAAAGAGAGCAATGTTTTCAAACCAACAATTTATTTAAAGTACTTCTAGGCTGCCTTTTTAGGCAATGCTTCTCCAAGCCAATTTACAATAAAAATTATAATGGACAACACAGATACCATAAAATTAACAAATCTTGCCCTCCCCCCTCCACCAAAGAGAACAGCCAGTAAAAATACCCAGTCAATTAAAACACTTTTCACAGCAATAACGAAGCAGAATTCCAGTTGTAAAACATCAATCATGAATATGCCAGATGCAAGAGGTAAATCTTTCAGGCCTTCTTAATGGTTTGGAGCAGGTAGCTTTCTAAAGTCCGTTCAGAGGGTGCCCTGGCAACTGGCTGTCGCCCAAATCTGCTCCTCAGTCTGCCCACATAAATATTGGGAAATGTTCTGTGTGAGGGCGTGCTCTTCTTTATTTTTTATTACTACTATCTTTTTCTTTTGAATTTTTGCGCCTCTAAGATTTTTGTGCCCAGAGCAAATGCCCCTGCAGCCCCACTCATGCTATGCCACTGAGCAACAGTTACTACTGGACTGAGGTATTTTATAGTCAGGCCTGGCCCACCCATGAGATATTCACTCACCCCCTCTTCCCTGGCAGGAAGGGAGGGCACCACTGTGTAGTTTGCCTCAGGTGCCAAAATGTATTGGGCTGGCCCTGTTTATATTGTTAATCTGACAAAAGCCCTCCTTGTCTTTGTTAGGTCCCTACCTAAGTACCAATATTCCCACTGCCACAAATGAGATCATGCTTACCATTAATAAAGCAGTGTTTACTAGGCAAGGTAAATGGATAGCCTCCCTAAGAAATTCTTTATAGGTCTTTTATCTGGGCCTGGACATCTTACAAGAAAGGTAAAAGAAATTGTGCTGGAGGAGCACTTTAGGGGCAGGGACACCGCTCTTGTGAATGCTCTGGATCAGACTTCCTCAACTTCGGCCCTCCAGATGTTTTGAGACTACAATTCCCATCATCCTTGACCACTGGTCCGTTTAGCTAGGGATCATGGGAGTTGTAGGCCAAAAACATCTGGAGGGCCGAGGTTGAGGAAACCTGCTCTGGATGCATGCAAATGCTATGACTCAGGCTGTCCTAGCTTAGTTTACATTTTGAACCTATATCAGGCTATGGGGGCCTGAGTCACAATTCCTTTAGATTATTGTAAGTCTGAGGCACAATTTCTGTACGTTATAGATTTGATGGTGTATTTATTCCACATGTGTCAGAGATTTGTAAGAGGCTTTACAACTCTGTGCATCTAACAAAAAAAATGGCATTTTGTAATAGGGATGCTTAATAAATGCAACTTAGGGAAATTCTTATATGAAATCTGCAGGTCTTGCACTATTGTGTGGTTTGAAACACCAGCTTTGCCATTTCTCCTGAAGCTGTGATACAGTTCTTGGCAGTTTTATCTATCAAAAGTCGTACTGAAATATTACATTGAGATAAATACACATTAAGATGTACTTAGAGATAAAATAAGCATTTCCATCTACATTTTGAGAGAAATACGTGTATTCTGAGATAAAAGAACAATTCAAATTGCACTTTACAAGTTTGGTTTTTTTTTTTACTTTTTTTAAAAAAAGACTGACAGATTAGAAGGAAAACAGAACTGAATTGAATTATGGATAAGTTTACACTAGATAGATACATATTGGAAATAGTCAGATTTAGTCGTAGCTACTTTGTACTATCTTTTGCACCTACTTTGTACTACCTTTTGCACCTAAAACCACATCAAAGTGGCTAATTGACCAAATGACAGACTTACCTCAGGATAGAGTATTTATTTATTTTTTGCATTATTCAGCGAGAGGATATTTCTTTCTTTCTTTCGTTCCTTTTTTTATTCACATAATATATATTCTTTACAACAAACAACTCCAGAATAAGCAGACAACTCCAAAATATGTAACAAAACCATAAGTCTCATGTTTTCATTTACACTGATCTCCTCTCTGATATCATTACTTGATATTTCTTGCTGCATTATGCTTTCCTTATAGAATCTTTATAAAAAGTTAAAACAATTTCAGTTAATCCCTTTAGCTCCCCCCACCCCCGATAGAGTATTAGTAAAAGTGCGAAAATCACTGTTCTGTATTACATCATTTTGGGGGTATCTATTTCGACAAAGTCGAGAATCGTTACTTTTCATAACAAAATATGGCTATTTTGTTATCATAACAAAATAGCTTAACGGGAGTATATGTAGACCATTAAAACAAAATATGTTAACACGTGTCTTCTACAATCTGTGTATGCGGGCTCCAAGCAAAAAAATTCTAAGCTTTAAAGACACTGTAACTGAGTTGGGGGGCAGAGAAAAGTGTTACATGTTGAGAAAATAAGCAAGACTGTGGATATGTCATGCAACTGGGAGAGAAAGCATTGTACAAATAAAAGGTGCATCCTCTGGCAGCCTCGCAGTCTCCCTTCTCTAAGCACACAATGGCCTTTAATGTAGCTGGCCATGGTAGCAGCTCATATATAAGGCCTGCAGGCTCAGGCAGCAGCTGGATGGCTAATGTTTCGCATCTCTCATCGTAAAGCATGCAGCACTACCCTGAAAGATCATGGTACTGCAGAGGCACCAATGGTCACCTCTGCCCCGGGCAATGTGAGAAAGGGGTGGAATAATGAAGCATCTCTTAAACGCCTCAATGAATTTAATAAGCTTCAATTTCTGAGTATTTTTTTTTATAGAAAAGAATCCTGTTTGTTTCTGAAGGAAATTGATGTTATAGAAAAATGACGGTGCTGTTAAGGACAAGGGGTGAGGGGAAAAGGAAGGCAGTGAGTGGGATACAGTCTTCCACTGCAATAGTATCTTTCAACTTTACCTATTTCACATATAATAGCTATAGGTATATAGTTTTAATAATTAATCTATCTAAGTATGTGCTTGTGCATAACTTGATGAAGAAATTATATAGAAACACATATATAGATTATAATGCTTTAGGTTTGTCCCCTATTATCTTAAACTGGAGTTCGAAGCAATAGGCTGGCACCTAGACTCATTTAACAAATGTTATGGTATAACTCAGACTTTGCCCAATGTGATGTCATCCAGATGTTTTGGAATACAACTCCCATCAGCCCCAGCCAACAGGAAAGGTTGAGGGGGGCAGGAGAGAGCCTGAAATAAGTAAACAAGGGGTAGTGAAGTGATTATCTAAAGCAGGGAAATGAAACCTGTGGCCCTCCTGGTGCTACTAGACTACAACTCCCATCATCCCCTGCTAGTGGTCTGGGATGAAGAAATTTGTAGCTCAACAACATCTGGAGGTCCACGGGTTCCCTTTCTCGGATCTAAAGAATGTAAGGTGGGATGCAGCCTGAGCACTGCTTTACAGATCTAGCCAAAATAGAGAACTGCAAAGAGGCCAGATACAAAGAACACTCGTTGAACCAATGAACCAGATCTGGATACGTAACTGTGCCTGGTACTATAAAAACCTCCCCTGTCAGGCCTGCTTCCAGGTTGAGAGACTGGGTGATGCTGCTCTCATGGATGACAGATTGCCTGCTTCTGCCTTGACACACCCTCAGTTGCACAGCAGCTGTATCTGACAACATATTTTTTTTATATAAAAAGGCAACAACAATAGAGTGATGCAAAATATTTCAATAGTGACAATAGACGCCCTAAGAAAGATGTGTCTCTGCATTCTGTATCATTTTCTTTGTACTACTCATATTTGCAGCAACAAAATTTAGCAAAATGTGATAAGTGTAAAAGTGTGTTTTCAGGACCCACCCTATTCCCGAGACTGTAATTTCTTTTAACTGTTTTTTAATCGGTAATAATTTCAATTCTTTTTTAACAGAAGGAAGGAAACTAGCCCTTGACCAAGCTGAAGAGAAAGCAAGATTCTGACTTAGCCAATGCTGTCCATATCATTCTATCTGAAGAGGAGAGCATTCTGGGTAGAATCTGCATGTATCTTAAACTCTGTGATCAACTGGCTTCCTTTAACACACAAAGTACTAATATTTCCCACAAAAAATAGAAATAAATCTACATAGACTTTTAATCATAACTTTTAATTAGAGGTGAAATAATAGAATCATAAAATTGTAGAGTTGGAAGGGACCACAAGCGTCATCTAGTCCAACCCCCTTCAATACAGGAATCTTTTGCCCAACGTGGGCTTCTAGCCCATGACCCTGAGATTAAGAGTCTCATGCTCTACCAACTGAGCTTCCCAGACTTCCTATAGCATGACTCTCAGATTAACAGGTGCTTACCTTTTCTTCAACATATGTACTATCTCATATTACCATCTCATGTAGCCTATCTCCACAGTAATTCCTAGAGTGTTCCATATTTTGCCATGTTATACCCAGATACAGTGGTACCTCAGGTTACAGACGCTTCAGGTTACAGACTCCACTAACCCAGAAATAGTAACTCCGGTTAAGAACTTTGCTTCAGGATGAGAACAGAAATCACGCGGTGGCAGCGGGAGGCCCCATTAGCTAAAGTGGTACCTCAGGTTAAGAACATTTTCAGGTTAAGAACGGACCTACAGAACTAATTAAGTTCTTAACCCGAGGTACCTCTGTAACCTTAATTTTCTCCATCTGGTCACACACAGGCCCACCTGGAAAATGCATAAGCACCTCTTTATACAAGGATAGTATAGCAATTTCTGTGAACAGTTGCCCTTTTTCCTACTGTGATCAAACTGCACCTGTCCCTACTCTTAAATCTATGCATAGTATGTAGAAAGTGGACAGTGCTACATCCAATATTATTTTCCTGAATGTCTCCCTTGTTCTCTTATAATAGCAATAGCGCCCACCTGAGAGGTGCCAGTACTGAGTTTTGGCTGGAAAAAAAAAAAGCCCTGACTACATCTTCTCCCCTTTTCACAACAATGATTTGCAGGAGATTTAGGTCAAACAGACCTTCTCCCCAATACCTTTCCACATGAATATATAAATAAAAAAATGGAATTTTTGCCACAAGATTTGGTGATGGCTTTAAAGGGGGATTAAGGCCAATTCACAGGATAGTTGTACTATTTTTTATTCCATTTTTACATTAAGTTCATGAATTTAAGAAATATCTCAAAAATACTATTTTGATATGTATTTAAGCAAGCATTTTTTTTCTAAAAATGCAGATTTAAATTAGCATTTTCTCTTAAACTACATATTACAAAGCCTAGAAGTGCTCTACAACATCTGGCGAAGTGCAAAAACTTTTGGATAGCAAAGTGTCAAGCCACACATAATTCAGAGAGGTCGTTTTCTATAGGAATTCACGAAAGACTAAAAACTTCAAGCACCCGTTAAACATTTCTGCCATGGCAGCCTTGTTTGCTCCAACTCAATAGATTGTGGTTATAATATATATAGTTTAGTCACTAGTTGGCAATAGACTTAGTTGTGTCTCGATGGAGTTAGGAGTTTCCTGATGTTGAACAGTTGTGTAAGAGAGAGTACCAAGTTCCTGATTGTTGTGCTCTCTAATAGTCACGATATGTCAAGTGTTCTCAAAACATTTATGTCATGGCTGCTTCATCTGGTACAGCTCAGGTATTCATTGCTGACATGACAAACCATGGGGGTGTTTCAGAATGTCATTGACACGTGACAGGTTACGCTGCTGATTTCATGTTCCTGATTAGACAGTATATGGTGATGGGGGTGTTTAGGGAAGTTTTTCATATTTTGATGTTTTATCGTGTTTTTAATATTCCATTGGGAGCCGCCCAGAGTGGCTGGGGAAACCCGGCCTGATGAGCGGGGTAGTAGTAGTAGTAGTAGTAGTAGTAGTAGTAATAAATAATAGGAAATTTTCTTTCTCCCCCCCCCCCTTGTCATAGTCAGAGCATTTTCATGTGATTCTTAAACTTAAGCAATTATTTTGTTCTGCCAGTGTGGCAGCTCTATTAATGGGCCACCCTTAAAGGCATATGGGCTCAGAGAATTCTGAGTTTCCTGCTGCTATTGCTGGTGCTCTGTAGGATTTGGGACACTGTTAACACACTTATTTCTAAGTACCATTTAGCAGAACCTGTTTACTCATTATTTTAAAATAAGATGAAGCTGTTAGGGAGACGGACTGAACACAAGTGGCAGGAAACTCTTATGAGCCTAACTTATGAGCCTGCTCTACACGGGTGATAGCAGTGAAGAAACAATATTTTGCCACCGCCATCTAGTCGAGGCAGTGCTATCCAGCAGAGATTTTCTAGGCAGCTTGCAGCCTTTTGCAACCTAGTCTTCAAAAATGATATAAGGGAACTTTTTATGCATTGTTATGACTACTTTGCTAAACACTTGGATGATAAAATAATTTGCATCCACCTCAGCCTAGACACTACTAACTTTGTTCAGTTGATGAATATGCCCAGGGCCCACCCTGGTCCTCCTTTAAAAAAAAAACAAAACTTAGTTGTAGTGACATAAGGATGTGAAAAGAGTGCTTGGTGGAGTGCAGCCTACCCTTTGTCTTGACCCCTTTCCCTCATGCTTGTTTACTTCTAGTAGAAATGATTGGCTGAGTCCAGGATGTTAATAGTGTCTCCTTCTGTGAGAGATAGCTTTTTAGAAACCCTCTGGAACCCAAAGACTGCAGTCACTTTGGGTTGGTTGCAAATATCACTTTCCTGGTCAAGGAACTTGAGCAGATGGTTACTGCACAACCCCCACACGATTGGATTAGACTGATTATCTGGACTCATTTTAATCTGGTTTCATGGTTGGCTTCTGCACATAAAATGACTTGGTCACATTTTGGGGTGACTTTCAAAGTAGATTCTCCTGGACCTCTTGGAGGCTTTTGATACCACTGACTGTGGCATGCTTTTGGACAGGCAGGCTTGGGAACTGGGGACACTGTGTTGTGATGGTTCCTCTCCCATCCAGTGGCTGTTTTGACATGATATTGCTCAAAGACTTAGAGTCCCATGCCTTTTATGCTATGAGGTCCCACATGATTGTAACTTGTATCCAGTTCTGTTCAACATATTTGAAAGTGCTGATTCAGGTGACCCTGATGTGAGGGTGTTCTTAACGGCAAAGTACCTGGTTTTTTAAAAAATAATAATTTTACCTTCCCACTGTACTAATTAGGCTATCATAATTCAATGTCTTAAGAAACTGAATTTGAATTTAACAATATTTCTAATGTTTACCTAATTAGACTGATATGTAATGTATCTCACTATAAGTTACCAGTTTTCCATTGAAAATTCCATTTTCAGTCTCTAGTATCTGTGATTAAAGTATCCAATACAACAGGTCTGGCAAAGACTTTTGCCTGAAGCCTAGAGGATCAATGGCTAGTCAGAGTTGATATGACTGGGCTAGATGGATCATTGGTCTGTTCAGAATAAGGCATCTCTGTATATTCTAAAATTATGACATCAAGAGGTACAAATGTGCTTTCTGAATTCTAGAGAAATGTCTGAAGTTAATGTTTCAGAAATTATTTGGCAGGGCATAGAGATGGCTCATTTATTTGGCTTGCTCACTATCATAATATGAACTTGTTTCTCCAATGCTTGACAAATGCACTGTTTTGCTCTGAGAAATGTCAGAGAGCATGTGAAACAGTGTCTTGTTTCAGATATGTCTATTGTCTAGCATTACAGAAACTAACTTGCATTTATGCCTCACCATTCCTCATATAGTACAAGAGTTTGAGTCAAATTTGAGGCCCTGAGTCTGTTCAAAGACAGGTGCCTCTAATGAGTCAAAGGTCACCTATTTTTAACATCCATGAAGATAATTAATGGAAAATCAGTTTTACTTGAACTTACCAAAATGCTGAAAAACATCTACAGTTTGCTTTGCTGCATATGCATCTGATTGAATAAACCCCCCCAAAAGGGGTGTGTGTGTTAGATTCCTACTCCCTCACCCTCATTCAAACTATATCATACTGTTCCTGAAGCAATCCAATAGATGTCAGAATCCCAATTACTGCTTTCAGCTTGTTCCATAGACTTGTTATAAAAATATGTTTTAATAAACAATAAAAGCAATTTTAAAAGATGTAAATAAGATAATTTATTAAATCTGGATGTCTTAAATGCTAAGAACTATCACTAAGATTTTTCACAGGTGATCAGCAATTTTGGGATGTCACTAAATCCATGTCGAAACAAAATGAAATAATAAATAAATAAAAAAAATCCTTCCAGTAGCATCCTAGAGACCAACTAAGGTAGTTATTGGTATGAGCTTTCGTGTGCATGCACACTTCTTGCACACGAAAGGTCATACCAATAACTAACTTAGTTGGTCTCTAAGGTGCTACTGGAAGGAATTTTTTTATTTTTTTATTTTGTTTCAGCCACGGCAGACCAATGCGGCTACCGACCTGTAACTAGAACTAAATCCATCAAAATGCAGGTGCTCACATATTCTGATTTAATTTAGTTTTTCTGAACGTCAAGAACCAAGTATTACAGTTATCCAACAATGTTCTAAAAGGCACTGATGAGATAACTGTAATACTTGGTTCTTGACGTTTGGTATTTTGGTAAAATATAAGCATCTTAAAAACAATGATGCAGTTCATAGGATGAAACAACTAAACAACTTGGAGAGGGGAGGATGAAGGGGGGGAGGGAAGCAGAATACTAGTGCCACACTATTTATGTGTGCACATACAAAACACAAACACTTTTGCAAGTTGCAGAGCAAATAAGTTACAACAAATTAATTAAAATTGTTAGAACACTGCGGACAAACCACTGAGTTAAAAAATAGTTTACTTTCCAACATATCAAACTTACACTACAGCCTTAAGCCCTTGATCAAGAGCCATAAGGCAGTCAGTTTGTATGCAGCATAAGCTTCTGCAGACTGGAGTGCACTTGTGAGATTTTAAGGCACCTCAGGACTCTTTGGATTTTGTCTAGAGAAGCAAAGGTGTGCACTTCTTGGAAGCTGCCTACACACATAAGAGTTTGCCATGATCAAGGTTCTGCATAAGCGGGAGTCAAATATGTGGATCTAGGCTGGCCATTTTCTTTCTGGCCTGCTCCTAACACAAATAAATTTAGCATACAAACAATTTTATGCCTGTTTACTTAAGTAAATCTCACTGTGTTCCAGTGAGGCTTACTCTCAGATAAGTAATATTGGATTTTCTCGGCTCTAGCCTATACCCAGTTACCTGAAAGCCTCATTGAACTAAATAAGGCTTACTTCTGAGTAGACATGTATAGGATTGCACTGTAAACTTTTCATCATTCTATGTCCTGGAGAACTTTACTTGCTACATGTGTATCAGTTTTCAGTTATTTATTATTTGTTAATTGCCACTAATAAGCATACGACCACCCCATCGCTACCTAACTAGCCAAAAAGCGCTCCTTGCTCCCAAACTGCTTTTAAATCAAAACAGTTGTGTTATATATCTTTGTCAAAATGGTTGCTTATCAGCTGTAATGTGACCTAGTCTTACTTATAATCTATTTCTTCCTCTACTTCTCTCTGGTCTTCATTGTTACATAGATATAAAGGGGGGGGGGAAATCTAACAGTTTTAAAGTGAAAAGTCATAGTGCATTTTCACTCTCTAGGAGGACAGAACTAAGTTCTTTATATTCTTAAATGGAAACAGCTTCTGTGCTCTCAGAAGCACAGAAATATATACTCCCATCACAGATTTACAGTTAGAAAAGAGGATTGTGGGGCCTTTCATGCTTTTTGTGACTTCTAATATCTTTCGATTACAGAAACAAGAACTTTTAATAGGAAAAGAGACTACATCTCACCTCTCCCTCTCTCTCTGGATTAATATGTACTTTTGTACGTATGGGAAACTAAAATGGAAGAACCGATAAACAGGCATGTATTTCCAAAGAAAATCTGTGAACTTTGGAGCTGATCTGGAGTCTTTCTGTTCCTAGGACTTCTGTTGGTATCTACTTTTCTATGTGTGAATAGCATCAGATAAGGGGATATGACTATGCAGAGGTCATACAATCTTTAAAACATAAGAGTAGTCATTGGATAGGGCCTGAAAATGTGATTTAGAAAAACTGATTGAGAAGCTGCTTCAGTTATAAATTGTTGTTTTTGTTTATTATTATGTTACCATGTAATCTACAAGACTGTGAAAGCTTTACAGAAACCTGACCAGTAGTTGTTTCTACATATCATACTGAACACTTAAGCATAAAATGCAGAAAAATGGATGCCATAGGACTTTCTCCATCAAACGAGTGAACCACACCATATGATATTGGCACTAATTTTATTTTTAAAAAGAAGTGATAGATTAATCCTTGTTTGAGGCATACATAAGTGCATTCATACTGTTAACTGTACCTGTGATGCCAAGGTATACACATGTAATGCATAAAACAAACATGTTGTTCAAGCATACATCCATGCTATCCTGCAGACAAGACAGTTTAACAGAACTTTAAAACTTGTCAGGGAACAGACATGTAGCCACAGGCCATACTGTCACCATTGAGTGGCTGTAATGTTTTCTTACAATTTCCAGAGGGGTAGCCTCGTTAGTCTGTTGCAGCAAAAAAATAATAGTCTTGTAGCACTTTAAAGACTGACTAATTTATTATGGTATAAGCTTTCGTGACATAGGTATTCAGCATGATACATGGAAGCAGCTACCGCAAGATGAGCTATACTCTAGTCCACAAAAGCTTAAGCCATAAGGAGGTTGAGTCTTTAAGGTGCCACAAGACCCTTTTGCTGTTTTATTAAAGCCATCCATCCACTCAAGTAGTAATTTAAAGAGAGCATCTCAATATGAAGTCAATACTGTTTTAGGTCCCTGTTGTGGATCACCAGCCCTCCCTAGAATCGTGCTGCTGCACTGTTGTTGTTGACTGAGAGAGATTTTGGGAGATGATCAGCCACTAAAATCAGTATTTCGTACCGTTCCCCCCCCCCACCTCGTCACTGGGCAGACTTTTGTGTATCTATAAGTATTGATCTCTCAGTTGGGCAGCGCCCCTGAAAGGCATTTTTTTTTCCGGGCGCTGCGAACTTCTTCTCTGTGAGGTATTCTTGGCCTCTCCGTGGGATCAGCCCAGCTAAACAGCCAGATCACCACCAGCCACTGAAATCCTGCCCCGTGGCAACTGTCTGCCAGCTCCCCTTGGCAAATCGTCACACAAAGCCCTGCTTTTCCGCGGGGCTCTACACACCGGGCGAGCAAGCGCCCCACTTCGGCGCCCATCGGAGTTGGGAGTTTATGACCACAGGAAACCTCCCATGTCAGTTAATGGACACCAGTTTCGGGCATGTTTTTTCTTCTTTTTTATGCACCGGCGCGGCTGCTTCCCCCTCCCCTCGCTACTTTGCTCTTCCCTTCTACCTGCCCTCCCTCCACCTGACCAAGAAAAGAAAAAGCTGCCTACAGGTCCCGAAACGCCGGGTTTTTTGTTTTTGTTTTTAACAAATACGCGATAATATTTTTTCTGCGGGCGTGTGAGTTTGTGCACGCGCTCGCCAGTGTGTGCATGTGAGGGAGCGAGAGAGAGGGAGTGTGTGTGTGGTTGCGTGCGTTTCTCTTCGGGTGTAACAGGCGAGCTGTATGGCTGGCCAACCTGCCCCTCAGCCCCGCGAGCCAATGGCAGGCTGCCTTATATAAAAAACGAATGTTTTCGGTCTTCTCCCCGGCTTTGCAATGTACTGTATATGTGGGGGAAACAGTGTACAGTGTGGGCTCTGCTTGAGAGCTGCTCCTCTCGCTCTCGCTCTCCTCACTTTCACATAAAGAAACACTGACTGGCCACGGCCGCCAACACTCAACAGACACTCATTCACACACACACGGGCACACAGTCGGAGGTAAGTGCAGCCAGCAGCCTCCCCTCCCTCTCTCCACCCCGAGCCAGGAGGAAAGGGCTCCCCTTTCCCAACACTTCCCTTTCTATTATTACTCACTTAAAAGCATGGGGGCAGCAGCCCCCAAGGACTCCTCCTCAACCGGCAGCAGGGTGGACTCCCGGAGAAGGCAGGCGCAGACCTCTCGGCGTCCCCGCTGCCCACCATCCCCATTCACTTTTCCTGCCTCAAACTTTGGATGGGGAGGGTCGAGGCGAGAGAGAGAAGGTCAGGGGTGGGCGTCTTCGCAGCCCTTGCGCGAGGGGAAGCCGCTGCTCTAGAGCTCTCTAGATTATATAGGGCAGGAGTGGTGGTTGTGGGGCGCTGGGAGAAGGTGGGGGGAGAGAGAGAGAGAGGATATGAAGAGAGGCGGAGGAAAGAGGTGAGTTGCAATGCTATGCAATGCATTTAGCAGGAAAGGGAGAGCGAGCGAGGGAAAAGAGCAGCACCAACCCAAGGGTAGGCCAGCCAGTGCCAGGCTGCGTTGGAAACCTCACCACCGCACGGAGGCAAGAGCAGCAGCAGCAACGGTGGGCCGGGAAATATAATAACCGGGACTCCCACAGGAGGGATTCGAAACAACCCACCCCCCACCCCAACGCATCCCTTCCCCCGCGTGTTTGTGTCTCTTTGACAGGGGCAGCGAGAAACGAAAGTTCATTGTAAGAGGGGGAGGGGGCGACGATGTCGTCGGTGCGTTGATTTATTTGTGTTGCGCGGCGGCGGCTCGTGTTTTGTGTCACTGTGGGCGAGGGCAGGGTAAGGGGGGTGCGGTGGGAAGCACACCCACCCCCCGCAGCCCCTCCGACAAACGGGGCTCAGTTGCTCGGGCTTCGAGAGTTGGGAATCGTTCGTTTTCCGGTAGCGAGAGAGAGAGAGGATCATGTCTTGCAAGGCACTTTCCCTCCCTCCTTCCCTCCTCCTGCTTCCTTCCACACAAACAACAACATCAAAATGTGCAATTATTAGAGGGGAGTTTTGTTAGTGTGGTTTTTTTTAAAGGGGGGGTGGGTGGGAGAGATTTTACATATATATATAAATATATAAAAAAGTGATAGTGCAAGCCGGGAGCAAGGAAGAATAAAAGAGATGGGGGGGAGGGACGGACGGAGGAGGAGAGAGGCTGTGTCAGGATTTTGCATGAATGTGGGATTATGTTGTGTCAATAAGTTTAAGGTGGAGAGAGAGCGAGGCTGCGAGGGGAAGCGGGGGGAGAGGAAGGCCTTGGCAGTTTAAAGTCCTGTTTCTGAAGGTAAGTTGTGACACCGGGTGGTCGCGATGACAGAAAACTTGCAGGTCGTTTGCACAGGGAGGGGGACGCGTGTCTTCCGGGGGGGTTACGGAGCCACCAGCCGGCAGATGGGTGTCGAACTGTTATTTGCTGTGCTGCGAGATCGGGTCGCTGGTAAATTACAGAAATCAGACGCTCCTTCTTCCTTCACCAGCCCTCCCCTCGTTCTCTCTCCTTCCTCTCTGGTGTTTTATTTGCGAATGTATGAAAACTTGCATGGCTGGATCCGGCATAGGAGGTTTTTGAGAAACAGAAAAAAAAATCCCCAAAACCAACGCGCATTTTTTTTTTTTTTGCCAGGGAGGTGGGGTGAGCAAAACAGAAACGTCTCGTTAATCCTGGGATCTGGAAAGCAGGAGGAGGTTTGCGTTCGGAATATCTCTGTGAACAATCCGCTGCCGCTGAATGAGGAAGGTAAAATGAAACGATGCAAAAAGAAGCTGAGACAACATGTACGACAGAGAGCGGGGGGGGGGAGGAGAGCGAGCGGAGAGCCATAGGCAAGCTATTCTCTCCCTTCACCCCCCCCCATCCAGCGCTTTCCTTTTCTGTCGTGGTGGTGGGGAGGGGGCCGGAAAGAAAGCGCCCTGGCGGGTTGTGGGGGGGATCTGGGAGAGAGTTAAAGCAAATACCCGGTTCGCGGCCACTCTTGTTGCGAGCTGCGTTTGGTCTTCTGGGGTTATTTCCGTTTCTCTCCCCCCCCCCTTCCCGCCGCCGCCGTCCCCAGCACCCCGAAAAGTGCGAGGGGGGGAAATTAGCGACTTCTCGCGGGTGGATCTTGTCGGAAAGTTTGTCAAGAGAGAGAGGCGAGCGTGGTGGTGGGGGAGCAGGCTGCCGCGGAGGATGGTCACTTGGCCTGGGGCTCTGAAACCATTGCCTGTCCTGCTCATGACACGTTCAGATCCCCGGCTCCGTGCACGGGTGAGGCCGAGGGGGGCAGCTTGCCACCCACCCAGACACCCACTCTCTTGGTCTGGTCCCCCCCTTCTTCGCCCCTAACACGCTGGAGATGGAGCAACCACAAGGATTCTGGGCTTCCATGTGGCTCCAGCAGCAGCAGCAGCAGCAGCAGCACCTCCTCTTTCCCGGTGGCAGCAGCCGCGGGATCATAGCTCGGGCCCGCGGGGAGGAGGAGGGGAGCAGTGGCGGCGGCGGCAGCAGCAGCAGCAGCAGGGAGGTGTTTGCTGCCAGTCTGATTCACCGAATCTCGCTGGGGAGGCAAAGGGTGTGGAGGAGGAGGAGTGGGGGGAGATCCGGCAGCAGCCCCCCACTTCCCCCGGCGCCCGCTTCTCCGGCTGCCTTCTTCTGCTCCAGGCTCTCCTACAAGGTGTTGTGCAGACTTTTCCCCTCGGGGACGTTTGAGATTTTCTTTCTTTCTTTCTTACGTTATATTACTGCTCCTCGCTCCTTCCAGCAACACTCTCCCCCCACCACCCCGCAAGATGGACTCTCTCTCTTTCTCCCTCCCTGTGTCTTGTCAGCCTTTAAGATCGACATTTTGTAACTAAGATGCAAACTTGATGCTGACCAGAAAGAAGAAGGGAAAGCTCTGGGCTTGCTTTATCTTCCTCGCGACACTCCATATTTAACAACCTTCGCTTTCACCCCCAGACCCCAGTGGCCCTGCCTACACTTTGCATGGTGGGGTAGGTGGCTGGCCGGGTGGGGGTGGCTTGCAGGCGAATGCTCTCTTTCCCCGTGTGCTGGAGGAAGTCAGGTCTATATAATATTTCTCTCTCTCTCTTTGGATTGCGATGGCGAAAGGAGGTGGGAGGGGGATCTTATCAAGAGGGATCGGGAAATGGGGACTACCTGAAACTATGTTGCAACGTCTCGTGTAGACCTGCAGTCTGGGTCTCAGATTTTGTTTTGGAGAACGGTATGATGTTGCTTAAATTCATCCACGAAACTGACTAACCGATTACATGTGCACATCGAGGGGCTTCCTTCCTGTTTGATTCCCATTTGCAATTTGAGTTCAACTTTCTCTGTATTTGCCATCTTGGGTGTGCTGTTTAATGGGGGGGGGGACCTGCCCCAGTGATGAATCCCCCATACAGTTTCTTTCACTTGTTCACTCCCAGTGCACTTTATAAACACTCTGTTGGTTTTGTTTACAGTTTAAACTTGACAGTTTTGTGTGTTTGTGTGTTTTCCTTCTGGAGGCACAAAATTGCTTCATATTTTAATAAGAACTTACTGTTGGGTGGGTACAAAGGGGGACAAAAGTAAGTTGCAATTTTGGGATCCCTCTAGCCTTGCTGCAGTTTTGGGCCAGCTGCAATATTGTAAAATCATGATGTGCTGATGATATGCCTCTATTTGATACTTTATAGGTCACTATCACATGACAAAGGCTTGGAGACAGCTTCATTTTCCTCTGCCTGTAATTTCCATTTGCCTTCCTGGGTAAGTATGTAAACTGTACACACACAGAACAAGATTGATGTTAGTGAGATACTGGCTACCCGTCTCTTACATTCAGATGTAAGGTGCTTGTTCAGTTTTTAGATTTCTTAGAGAACATGTTTTCTTTAGACACAATCAGGAAATGTGACAGCATGCAGTGTTTGTGGGGAATAGGGGGGCTGTGTTGGTATGTGGGGTTTGTTAATCAGGAAATTAGCATGTAAAAATGCCCACGTTGGGCTCCCAATATTCGTTTCACTAAGCTGAATAGTTTTAATGGGGAGGGGAACCTAAAAATTGCAAGTAATATTTTGTAACAGAAGATGTAGTATTTTTGAGAGATGCAACAGGGTTTATAAACACTGTCCAAACCTAAGAGTTAAATCTAAACTCAATATTCTGGAAGCATCTTCAAGGAGTTGGGAACAACATCCATATGACTTTAACATTTAAGACATTCTCAGCACAAATTTATACCTGTCTACTCCATTAAAATTTAGGGAGGATTAATCCCAGGAAAGTATTAATCCCAGGTATAGGATAGCAGCCTCGGTGTTGTATCACTTTTCTTTGGAAATTCCTCTTTCCTTCTATTTATTTTTCTGCAGTCATCAATTTAGGTCAATTAAATAGCTATTAAATTGTTACTATTTGCACAATAATTTTTTACAGCTGTAGATGTTTTAGGGGAATTTTGAATTATGTAGATCTATTGTGTTCAAAAGAAGATTATAGCCAGCAAAATATAACTTTAGAATAATGAGTGACTGTCCAAAGGCTATTCTGTTTGAACCTAATGATTATACTATGTTGTATTTATGCACTAACAGTGCAAAACAAAGCAGAACTATCCTATGACTTACAACAGAAACATGTAATTAATGGTGGTGGTGGGGAGTATAATGGTTTATCTTTTATATTCAGTGTTCATAAGAATTGGTGATTAGTAGCTGTATTCCAGAAATAGGTATTCAGAGGTAGAAACAGTGGGGTCTATTTCAAGTTTACAGGCTCAAGAATTACTCCAGATAACCTTGATCATTGAGAATCCCTAACGAGAGCATGGAATGGGTGACCGCCTCACACTGGAACTACTGCAGCCTCTCTGTGTTGACATTCCAATCATAGAGTACGAGATTGCATGCCTTGTTAGAAGTTAGGAGAAAGGAAAGCTGTACTCCCACTTCCCTTGCCCAAGGCTTCACATTTCCTAGCAAAGATAGTTTTCTTCAAACCTCAGTTATTAACTCACTGAATTCACAGGAATGTAAGTAGTATCTTGTGTCCTAAAATGCTGACTTAAAAAAAATGTTACTCTTCTTGGAAAACTACTTCGTATGTTATAGTTCAGTTGGGTCAAAAGTAGGAAAAGTTCATAGAAACTTGGGGTAGTCCTAAACCCGTCTAAAGTTAGGTTAGGCACATCCATTTACTGCAGTAGATTTACTCTGAGTAGGACTATTGTTGACTACTACCCTTGCTTATTAAAACCTATGGGGACTGAAGTGTGTATGTGAAGGAGCAAGGGTTTAATCTGTACACCTCACCACTAATGGTAATAATACCACATACAGTCGTACCTTGGAAGTCAATCGGAAGCTGCGGAAGCCCCGTTGGATGTTCGGCTTCCAAAAATAGTTCGCAAACTGGAACAGTCACTTCCAGGTTTGCGGTGTTCGGGATCCAAAATGTTCAAGAACTAAGCTGTTCGAAAACCAAGGTACGACTGTACTCTGGTGTAGCTTAGTGGCAAAGAGACTAAGTTACGTATCAGGGATCTTTCCTCTCACTACTCCTAGGGTAGCTATTGTCTTCCTTTGGAAATAGGGAGATGACCTGCCTTACAGGGTTGGTTGTAAGGGTTGCAGCAAGATAATGTATATGAAATACTTTGAACACAAAGTGCTATGTACATGCTAACTGTTGTTATTACCAACAGTAGATTAGATTTAATCAATATATAAAACTAAAACTGGATGTTTAAATAATCCTGCAGTATATAATTAGATTCTTTGCTTGAAGTTTGGTGGGATTTTATAATGGGGAAGGCTGTTTTTTTTTCTGTGTGTCTGCGTTTTCCCTCTTTTCCTCACTGTTGTGTTAGTGAAGTTTTCAGAGAGGACTGGCTTGGCACTGAAAATGATTATATGTGTACTATCTAGCTCTTGATTGCCATGCTAAAGGGATAAGTATACTTCTGATTATTATGTATCCTAAATTATGTGTGGCTGTCATAAAACTTTATAAAGAGACAGTTTAAAGTTTCTTTCTGTTGGAGAGCGGCTCTGAGTAATGTTAAAAGTGTCACCGGAACCTAAAAATGATGATGTTAAAAAGTCCATATAAAAAGAAAAGAATAATTGAATATCCTTGAAAGAAAGCACTGAAGTAATTTACTTGGAAACATAATAGAAGTGTCTAAAAACTGAATTTTCTTCAACTTTGTACATACTCTGTTGAGCTTTTTAGTGTTTGAATATAGTTTCTTTCTAAATATATTTGTCTAATGCATTAGGTTTTAAGTACACTTTAATAGCAAAATCTACAGATAAATCCCAAGTGTTGGCTCTGATCCTGACAACTTTTACATGCTGTTCCAGTTGGATAAATGGACATGAATCTGTGTAGGCTTGAAGCCACTGGGTTCAATCCAAAGAGCGTTAGGCATGCTTAAGCTCCACTGAAATCAAAGGGACATGAGAACATAGTTACGAAATGTGCAGGTTGATTTTATATATGTTTATTTGGCTGATTTTACCAGTTAAGTATGCATAGGACTGCATTATTAATTTCATTGGGGAAAGTGTCCCTGATCTTGTGCCCATCGGATATTAGGGTGGTGGAATACATGTCACTCAAGTATTAAAATCCATTACGGTTCAAGTCTATTAGCAAATCTGCTAAAAATCTTTAAAAGATTGGGCTTTGTACACAAAGCCATTCTGCCCCCTCAGTAATGAATTCCTTTGACAGTCTTAACAGGAGAGCTCTTTCACACCTCTTAAGAGTCAGGGTTACACTCAGTAGTCAGACTTAACGAAACTGGATAAACTAGCAGGTTAATGAGTTCATTTCAACAAATCATAAAGAAAGGAGTCAAACATAAGATAATGTAAAACAGTTTGTGAAGCTTTATACTTTTAAAAAGAAGGTTGGGCTTTCCTTGTCCGCTTGTGGGCCAGCCTTTTGGCAAATATGCATTTGTTATGTGGAGTGCCAGGAATTCAAACCCGGGACTATGTATGCTACTACTATGGCAGCTTGTCAGAGGAGGGGTCTGCTAGCTTGTGCTTTGGTACCACTAGTGCTTATAGGCCAGAAGAAGCTGAAGCAGCCTTTGGGCAACACGAGAGTCCAATGGAGTTACATCTCAGACTCTGGCTCTTTATTCTGAGCAACTTGTTGCTTGAGTCAACACTCTTCTCTCATACTGAGCCCAGGAGCCTGTTGCTTTGTGTTCTCACTGGCCCGTGCAGAGCTTGCTTTGCCTCTAAACTCCTAAATCTGATAATAATCCTGTGTCTGTTGCGCATATGAAAGAGCTGCAGGGATCACAGGCAGTCAATGGAATAAATGGAATCGGTAGAAAATAATGTATAGTTTTTTGTTTTACTGGATATGGACAGAAGAGAGCAATAACCTTACTGTTTTCCAGCTGCTTCACATATTTAAAAGGCAGCATGTTCTGCAAGACTGAAAGTGGATAGGGAAGATTGTAGGGGCCTTTTATACCAGCACAGTACTATATAAAAAACGTGTTCCGCTGGTGAAGCCATCTATGTATACTAGTGCAATATTTTCCTTTTGAGCATTGCAAGGCAGTGCATAACTATGATATGGATGGAGAAGATAAGATGGTACAAATGAAACATTGAAGTTAATGGCACCAAGTGAAATTATATCTCTGTGGACAGGACCAGGATCCTTCCTTGTTCTGGTGGAATGTTGCAAACAGAACACATCAGCATGAGTAGAGATATTTAAACCCCAAAAACTACACACATGAAGAATGTACATAAGGGGCAGTGCTATAGAACACACCAGTAGCATAAGAGACTAACGTAAATAAATCTTTCCCAATGACACCAGTTTTCCCAGGGACAGAGCAAGAACAGTGAACAAAATAGTAGAATTCAAACTATCTTTCCTTTATCGTTGCAGTAAACTTTGGTAGTAAGCTGTATGTTGTATTGGTAATATCTTCTAGATTTGAAAGTAGTGTTCTTTAGCTAACATTCATTTTATTCACTCTGGTATTGTTCCAGCACTTAGCAAACTGGTATTTAATTCAGCTAGTGTATAAACTCAAATCCGGTATGTTTCTTCAACAAAATTTGGAATATTGCTGATTGTTTTAAAGTAACATGTCATGTCCATGTTTTAGGCATCATTGGGTAAAATGTCCTGAGGCTTGGCAGGTATTATTACTCTTGCATACCCAGAGTTCTTCAAACTGTTTTGCAGTTCTGCCATTTTGCTTTCCTGCATTCCATTCTATCCCATCTGTTCTTCAGAGAGCTATAATTTATCATTTTGGAACTTTATGAACTCCTCAATTAGATTGAGCATTATTAATAGCTTTTTATTATATATATATATATATATATATATATATATATATATATATATATATAATGATACTTATTTGTATAATGCAGTGGTCTCTGATAGCTGTCATCCAGACACTTTTGAGCTTCTTGCTTATAGATGAGTGTTGTATAGCTGACTGCACTTATCCTTTGCACTTTGTCGTCATTCTACCTTTGAAACGCCTGTAAGCAGGCATCCTGAAAGGGAACAGTAGCTCCACTGCTAGAAAAACTGTGTTTCCTGTTTCTGGGGTCTATAGGCACATATTCAGCTTGTCCACTATTGCTCCCAGATATGATAGCCATGCAAAGCCTCAGAAGATTTTCCATGTCTGGATTACTGCAATGCATTATATGTGGGGCTGCTTCTGAAGTCGGTTCTGAAACTTCAGCTGGTGCAGAATTCAGCAGCCAGGTTACTCACAGGGGCAAGACGGTTTGAGCATATGTTCCAATCCTGCCCCCTGACTACATGGGCTGGCAATTAGTTTCTGGGCCCAATTCAAAGTGCTTGTGTTGACATATAAAGCCTTACATGTCTCATACCCTCAGTACCTTAAGAATTGCCTCTTCCCATATGAACTGCCCTGGACCCTGCACTTGTCATCCAATGTGCTTCTCCATGTTGCTCCTCCCGAAGAGGTTCGGAGGGTGGCATCACGAGAGTGGGTCTTTTCAGTGGTAGCTCCCCGTCTGTAGAATGCTCTCCCCAGAGACGTTCTCCTGGTACCATCATTACATATCATTAGGCATTCATTCCTCTTTACCCAGGCCTTTGGCCATAAAATAATTACGGCCTGTTAAAGCTGCCGGTGGGGGCTGTTGTTGTTGTTGTTGTTGTTACTACTATTAATAATATTATTACTATTCTGTTGATCATTATTGTGCTCCATAAAATGTGTTCTTTTGATAAAGGGAGGTATAAATCGAATTAACAACAACTTTAATCAAACAGGTTGCTTACCTTAAACCTGTCAATATTGTTACATTTTAAAAGGAAGTGCAGTAGTTTCATGGTCCTGCACCTCCAAATCTGTACTTCAGATTTGTGCTTTACCAAATGTGTAGGCAAACATCAGGCGGGCATATTTTTATGACTCTTATGGCTCTTCATGGGTGGAAACCAGAGCAAATGAGGCTTGTCTCACTGAAATCAGTGATACTTAGTACAGTTAAGTAAATAAAGTTGGTTTCCTATGTACATTTCCTTTGAAGGAAATCTTATAGAACTCTATGGGATTCTGGTGTATCTTACTTTTCTAGATTATGTCCCATGGGCATAAATGCATAAATAATATCTGCAGATATTGGTGTAGGTGGGTATAACACTCAAATCAATAAATGGACCCTCAGGCATCTTTGATGCATAACTATTTAAGCAAATTATAGTTTAAGCTGTAACAGAGAAGAGAATGGTGAGATTTTAGGTCATGTAAGACTTGTGTCCAAACCCTCTTCCGGCTGTCAATACGGTAGTTCTGAAAGCTTCAAAGGTGAACTTTGCTAATAACTGACTTAATTTGTCATCGTCCTGCTGTAGGCCTTTTGTGCTCAATTTATTGAGCAACTTCATTGTAAGTCAGCAGAAGCTTCTGAGTGTAAAAAAAATGAAGATTCCATATCTAGGTTATTACAGGAGTTTGCAAGTACAGAGCAGTTACTTGAGAAGCTTCGTTCTGTTTCAGAATGACCCCTAGGGTTAGAAAGTAAATGCCCTGAGATGAATCAAAGGACAATTGCTTTTAGACATCACGGAGTTGACCCGGAGGAAATCCATATTTAGACTAATTTAGGATAATTTTCCAGATGTCTGAAAGCAGCTTTAAAAAATACATTTGAAAACAGGCTTTTATCTCCTTGTATTACGTATTGTATTGCCAAAGTAAAATAGAGAATTGTGCTCTTCTGCTGTATAGTTCGTTGGGCCTTGTAACTGAACATTTGATACCTACGATGCAAAGTGTTTCATCAGAGATTTGTATAAATCATTTTGTAATAAATAATTCTTATATGGTTTGCACATATATAAATCATATTTATTTTCTAGTGTTTGTTATTTGTGCACATATAGGGGCTGAGGTGAAACAAATGTATGTGTAATTTTAACTTTTGCTCATTTCCCCTCTGATTTTTATTATATAAACATATAGAATACAACATCTTTGTATATAATTCTCTACCCATTATAATCAACTAACAAAAATAAACTCATAATTCCTGTTTTACATATCATTCAATACATAGGGGGAAAATGCTATATTATTGCAGTTTATTTCCTAAACCTATATTAGTGATATCCGGTTCCCTTTTAATGTACAGAACTTTTGATATTCATTTGGTCATTTTCCGTTTGCTTACTTTATTGGGTTGTATCATTGCTGTCAATTTTGTGATCTAATTGCTCCCAGATTTTCATCACTAGTAAGGAACTATTGCTACTTAAATGTGTGACTTGGCTTGATTTAAACAATTCATTGTATATTTGAGAATCTTTCTGGTTAATTTATTTAGCCATTGACCCAGACACAGTCATTTGGAGTAGACCCATTGAAATCAAGAGAATTGTGTTCAATATATGGTATTCAACTAAGTTTTACTAGTGAAATTACGTCCTGTAATCTCAGTCTGTCTACTTTGCGTAAAACTTACTTGAATACCACCCAGTAGGCCTATTTCAACTACTACTATGTCTGGATTCAAATCTATGGTGTATTTTTCTTTAATGACAGTTGCATCCAATTGGTATCCCTCTGTTGACTGACAGAAGGCTCTTAGAACCAATACAGATATCTGTCAGCAGGACAGGGATTTGAGGTGACCTTCAGCAATCCCTTCCACCTCTCCCCAGCCCTCCAAAATCTGTTCTAGATGGTTAGGGTACCCTTTGCAACACAGTAGGAGGTATTGTGGGATGGTACAGAGAGAAATATTGCTTTGTTTCTTATTTTGCCAATGGAATATCCAGCTGGATCAGAGTCCATCAGTGGATGGACTCCAACTGGATTCATTCCTACAGTAAGCTATTAACAGATAGAAACACCGAAGTGTTATTTTCTTTTACAGATTAAAAAAACCCCAGTGCAAAACAACATTACAGGTCTTCTAGGGAGTTTACAGTGAACTCTATAATGGCTTTAATACTTTAGTTCTAAACATTTGCACAAGTGAATACACTTACAGTGTGCCATTTATAGTTTCTGATATTTTACTGGTGTAGTGGGCATACTGCATCTGATGTATTTGTATGACCTGAAAACTCATGAAGCAGAAACCTTGGGAGAAACTTAAGATAAGCAGGTCTGGCTCTAGTCTGTGCCTGTATGAGAGATAATCTTATATAACTTCCAGGGGTATATATGTAAGGCAGGGTATATACACAATAGTAAGCCAAATTAATTGCCTAGTTCTTGGACCAGAGTTGATTTGTTTTCATAAAACTCAAAGGAAATAGGCAGGTTTAATTATAACCACTCTACTTTAGAGGTAGCTAACTAATGGGCCCCAAACATTTGCCATAAAGCAACTTTATTTCCCTGCTCCCTGCATGCATCGACATCAGTCCCAAGCAAATTTTAATCAAGGTGCAGTAAAAATTTGCATTCACAGTTAACTTGAAAGGAGAAGATAGGACTGTTCAGCCCTGGACAGGTTGACTGGGAAATAGAATGACCCCAGCGAATGCTCTTCGAGTTTAACTGGTTTGCGGGTCCTAATTGTGCACCTAAATGTGAGCATTCTTTTTATAAAGCTTTATTGCCTGGTCACCTGCAGGTAACTATTACTGTCCACGGGTTACCAAGCAAGTGGCTCTTTCAGGCCTGTACATGTAGCTATTTCAGCATTTGACATTCTTCCCAATCTTTATTCATTGTCACAATGATCATGTGATGTGAGTTCTTAGGACCAAACTATGTGCTAGTTTGCAAACTAATGCAGACTTGCAGTTATTATGTGTTCTTTAAAAACAATAAAACTGAAATGGGGATAGCAAGTAGATAAAAATGATTTAAAAACAAGGATCCATAAACTTTTTAAACATTTTATTAAAAAGAGATAAAGTGATACAGGAAAAAAAGGAGGAAAAGTGAATAGCATTCCATTAACCTGGCAGGACAGTGCTTGCCAGAAAAAGTCGACTGCAGACTGTGATAGGCCAAACGAGGTGGTCAAACGGAATTTCATAATTTAGGTGCAACTTCATGCACTTTCGCATTCCACCCAGTCAGGCCTTAGCTAGCACTAGGGGTCAGGGTGGAGCCTGTCCAACAGTTCATAATGGGTGGGCAGGATTCTGTGGGTGAAGGTGGTCATTGAAGTATATTGGTTTCAAGCCATTTAGGGTTTTAAAGGCTGCTTGGAAATTTAAATTTTGCTTGGAAATAGAATGGAAACCAGTGCAGCTTTTGTAAAGTGGCACTTTGATGCTCCCAATGGCAAAAGGCTATCTGTTGCATTCTTGACTAATTATTGGTTTTGGAAACTTTTTTGAGGCAGTTACAGTAGTCTAATTACAGAAATCAACAAATCTCGGGGGGGGGGGGAGAAATGTAATACAGTCGTATCTGGGTTTTCGAACAGCTTAGTTCACGAACAACTTAGAACTCGAACGTCGCAAACCCGGAAGTAGATTTGCAAACTTTGCCTCGGAAGCCGAATTGGAACTGCAGCCAATTGGAAGCAGTGCCTTGGTTTCTGAACGTTTCGGAAGTCAAACAGATTTCCAGAATGCATTCTGTTCGAAAACCAAGGTGCGACTGTAGTTATTTTGTGACATTTTGTCTACACAGGTGATGCAGGCATAAACACATTGCTTTAGGGCAGCCTACAACTCCCATCATCCCTGACCGTTGTCTAAGCTGACTAGGCATGATGGGAGTGGTAGTACAACAGTATCTGGCATCAAGCCCTTTCCCCACAAGGTTCTGCTCAGTGGCAACTGCAGCTGATCCTGCTCACACTGATGAATATTCCCTTATGATACATATAGTTTCAAGTATTTAGTAGTATCTCACTGTAAATTCCTGCTCTGCAAATTGTGCATTGAAGTATAGACTTTAAAATGCAATATATGAAGAGGCCCATTACCTTAGTTGCTTAAAAAAGATATACTTTTACTAAATTTTTAACCTTCAGGCTACAGCTCTGGTGCATGTTCTTAGCATAAAATTATGTATCCTATAGTTCTACAGAAATATGAGTTACTTTAAAAGTTAGATATAATTGTGTAAATGTGTAAAAAATAAATTGGAATAAATACCGTTAGCATAATAACCCATTCTTACATACTCTGTTACTTCCTGGTGTGCAGTTTTCTGAGAAGCAGGTTTGCCCCGTGTATTTGTGTATGTATTTGGGTTTTTCTTGAATCAGTGTTACTGGCTGTGAGTTGTCAGGACCTGCAATTTAATATAAATTGAGTTTCAGAACCTCTTTTAATCCAAAATTCATTTTAAGACTGTAAAGAAAACAGCTTGGAGTTATATTAGAACCAGCATCTTACTATTGATCTGCAGTTTTTCTTGTACATATGCCACAAAAATCTGATAGCAGTCACAGATATGTATCTAGATACCAACACACAGAGTTCATGGGCATTGTATACTTTCAAAGTCACTCCTGAGCCATGCAGTTTTGAATGTGTTCTCTTTGTTGGATTTCATCCTCATAAGCATTTGAGGCATTTTAAGTTTTCCATTGCACAACCAATCTAGAATCACTATGCTTAAACTTTTTGTATCGTGATGTTACGTCCTCAGAATTATGAAGCGTATAAAGCATGAGATCTGAAAAACTGATAGATTTGTAGTGCATATAATTTGCCTCCTGATTCTCAGCCTTTCAGTTATGCTTACCTGCAAAACCGTGAGGCCTAATGAATTTTTTTTTTATTTTGGGGGGGGAGCACACCTCAAAACAAAATCTGACATTCTTAAGATTCCAGCAAGATTCTCCTTTATGCTTGAGGGGCTGGTTTAAAGTCTGCAGACCATATGTTTCCTAGATACTGCTTTGAAAGATAGATCTGACTCTAAGGCTAGAAATACTCCAACAAATGCAAAGTTTATAATAAAGAGAAAAGTTGGCAAAATATCATTATCTTTCAAAATATATTGGCTTTTGCCAGCCTTGCATTTTGGTGGACCTGTGTAATATACCAAGCCATGCTGCTGACCCAAGAAAACACAGCCTTTAAAGCTGTGCTTTCCACATCTCTCTCGGTGTGCATTCAGGGAGCTAGCCTGACTGCAGAAAAGATGATGACCAGTACTAAAATGACATCCCAACTAGAGAGCACCTTGCCCAAACATGTTGGCTCAGTGATTGCTTTAGTTTCTTTTAGGCACTAAGTAAAAACTGAGCATTTTTACTCAAACTTTTAATGGAATAGAATTATGCAGTTTATTATGTGAGTCGTTATTATTATCTACTGTGAGTTGTTAGTTTTAATTGCATCACATGTCTAAGTGCAATACACTTCTACACTACAGGCTGGATCTTGCATTGACTTTGCAGAGTGTGACACAATTGTAGATACCTGGTTGTAAAAAGCTTCCACGAGCACTTATGGAAAAGTGCTACAACTTAATTGCCTCCACTCACACCTTTCTGGATCCTACCCTTTATATTTTATTCTTGCTACACTTTATACTTATTCTTATTATAATGTGTGGCACATGCACATTGAGGACAACTTGACTGAAAGATAAGGTATGAATCTTTAAGATGGATAGAATGAAATTTTCCCAATTAGGGGTTGCTTCGTAAGATGTTACACATGTAGGTATCTGCATATATCATGGATGATATTAAACTAAGTTTTACTCAGAATGAAAACATTGAAATGAATGAACATGACTTAAGTTAGGTCCATTAATTTCAGTGGGTCTACACTGACTGAATACAACTTAATTGACTACCACCCAGTACATGAACTTTTTACTCCAGCCTGCTCTTAGTCCTTGCTTCCGAATTAAGCCCACCCCCCAATGTTTTGAAGCTGCCCCCCCCCCCCCGAAATCACTTACTTTTACTGGTTTGACCGTTGCGGCTGACATTTTTAGGGAAAAATCAAGGATTAGTAGAAAGATTCCCTTATGCATTTCTGAATGTTTATCGCTTTGGGAGCAAGACATTTGCATTGTAGTGTAGAGCACGATCAGCAGAGCCAAGTAACTTCCTTCATTAAATGGATAATATATATAAATATAGGTGGATAGGGTAAATCAGGAGCAGAACAATGTTTTGTGGGAGAACAAACAATCTAAAACTTTTTGCACTGGCTAATTGATCTGAAAGACTTCAGACTTTGTGGTAAACATTTTAAAGACTCTGGAGTAACATATTTAGATGGATTGTTTGGTGGATATGCAGTGAGGAGAACACGCGTGGTGGATAGCTATCAATAATTTTTCAGTAACTGTTTTTTTTTATTATTAGCACTGGTGTATCAGAGAAGTATGCATCTTTAGCATATATTTTTTACAATTTCAGAAATGTCATTTACTTTCCACATGAACAGCATGGAGGTGGGGACAGTTAAAAAAAGTAAAGATTTGCATGTTCAAAATGCCTATAAGTTGACAAATTACCTTCCCACAGACATGCATCTGACGCCTTCACTGTACAGCTTTCAGTGAACACTCAATGTTTACCTGGGCCTTTGACACCTGAGTTGTGCATCTTCAGGACGCATGCTATTCCTGAGACAGTAATTTGTTTAACTATTTTTTATTCTCAATTTTACATTGTTGTAACCTGCCCTCTGATCTGTTGAGGAAGGGTGGGTAATAAATAAATCTCATAATACTATTAATAATGTGCTGGAAAATGTGAGAAGTTACTTTCTTCAAGGTGGTCTTGCGCAGCCTGATCTAGTAGATCGATTTTAGTTGTGGCAGCGTCAGCAAGTGCCTTTTCCCCCCCACAGGAAAACAACATTCAAACACTGGCAAATGGGACATATCTATCTGATACTAGGCTAGGAAAATTGTTCAAATGATTCCTTGCATCCATAAGATCAATGTATAAACCCTAGTGGACATTGACTACTAGGATCATTAATGCTGTAGTAGCACTTATATCCTAGTGACAGCACTCTGAATGGAATAAAAACTTCATTAATAATAATAATAATAATAATAATAATAATTTATTATTTGTACCCCGCCCATCTGGCTGGGTCTCCCCAGCCACCCTGGGCGGCTTCCAACAAAGTATTAAAATACAGTGGTCTGTTAAACAACTGCCAAATAATAACTAGAATTTGCCTGCAAGAATAACTGATACTGCCCCATTTTTATCAATTACCTATTCATTTCTGGGCCTAGTTAAAAATGTTAGTTTTGATCTTTTTAAAATAATACTTTCAGGCTTGGCTCCTCCCATTTGACATGAGAGGCTTGGCTTCATGTCCCCTGCCATCTGAGGTATGGTGGTTTGGCACATGATGAAGTAGAGTCTTTTCTCCTGTGACACCTCAGTTGCAGAATGTTGACCCTGGGGAGGCCATATTTCCTCATGCTGTTGGGCCATTGCATTTCCTGAAGTACTTTAGGGAAAATCAAAGGTGATGAAGGTGTAAAGCTATCACTGCTGATGGAGGGGCTGTTTTTCCTCTATTTTGGCTGAGCTGGATATTTGTGTTTGGTTTTTGCATAACTTTGGGGTGCGGTGAGTTTTTTATTTTGTTACATTTATGCTGCTTCTGATTTTGTTGATTTTGAATTTTGTTTTGTATTCAAATTGGGCAGCATCTAATGATGTTTGTCTGCTTGTATGGTGGGAATCAACCTGCACAACAAGACTTCCAATTTCTCTTCTCTGCCCTCCAGCACCCCCCTCCCCAAATTTTCCCCAACCCAAATGGCAAAACCCCCCTATAAATATCTCTAAAAGGATAAGTCCTGTTTCAACAATTATTGTTGACTGCCTTCTAGGCCCTCTGTGTTAGAAAGGTAGGTTAAATTATGAAACTAATAATGCTAATAAATATAATAAATTGTTACATTTATTATATTTATTAGCATTATTAGTTAAAAATAACTTATGTTATTTTGCTGCATGTGCACCTTGAAAGTGCATTTGTGCAGCAACTGCATTCAGTAGCAGGAAGTAAACATAGAACAGCCCATGATGTTGATTGCTTTTCTCGCTGCCTGCTTAAAACATTTAGGCAAGTGTATCCACACGTGAAGCAGTTATGTATGTTCTATCTCTTTTTAGCTACTGTTGGTTTTAATAATCTTTTGAATGTTTTAAAATACCTGTTTTTAACCATTTTTTAATCAATAATTTTGTTTTGTTTTATAATTTTGTTAACCACTTGGATGTTTTCTTAAAATCAAGTGGTATGTCAGTTTTGCTAACCAAACAAATAATGTAGGCTTTCTGGTAAAGTTTGAATTGGAAAATTTTCTGGTGCAGGTTACAATTATTTATTTATTTTACTTATATTTAGTAAACAAAGCTAAAAAAATTGAAACTACTAAACCCACCTAATATTTATATGCATTTGGCATCCATACATGGTTACTAAAAGAATGTATGAAATGGAAAAAAATCCATAAAATATAAAGCAGTGTAAAAGTCTCTACCCCCCCAATCCCAGAGTAGAGCTGTGATGAAACTTGTTTATTTTATGCTGGTTTGGGGATGAGTATATAGTACTCTATCCTATAAATCGCTTTGCTGATGGAACTGATTCCATGGTGGCTATAATCTTAGGAAATAAAATGTAGGTGAACCACCCTGAGACTTTATGAACAGTAGTAGTAGTAGGTTGTCGTCTGTTTTCTTTTAAAGACTACAGATTGCAGCACAATCCATTACTGATTTGAGGCAGGTGTACCAATTAGTGAGCAAATTAAATGTTGATATTAGATTTCCAGGTTTCATGGGAAATGTATGTGATGAAAAAGGAATGTAATGATTGTAAGTAGAAATCATCAAAGGTAGAAACAGGAAAAAATATCTATATGATGACATATTATTCATTGTCCTATGCAAAAATTGGAAAAAGGACTGCATCTTGGAGTTGCTTCCATTTCTTCAAGATTTCTGGCAGAATTAAAAGAAAATCACTTACTAAGCCATGCAGCTATTAAAAGCTTAGGTGCACTTGCTATGGGGGGACTTGGCAGTCCTTGTTCTTTTCAGGAGATGTTTCTCAAAGCATATATATCAAGCTATATCAGCTATAAGAAGCTAAGAAGAGGTTTGCTAGATCAGACAATGGCTGGTCAGCTGTCCACAAGCATAAATAGAAGATTATGAAATCAAATTCTGTATTTCCATCAAATCCATGCTTTTTATTTCAGTTTTATTACTTTTCTGCCAGACAGTATTTCATATGTATTTCACATAGTACTTTACCCTGCTTGTCTTTATTACTACTGCTGGTATGTCACTGGTGATACTCAATGGCAGTGGTAATACACCCTTACAGTAATTAATGCCAAAAGTACACCAGTGGGAACTGGTTGAGGACTGTATCCCATAGTTTGTGAATAGAAGGTAGCTCATAAACGGATTGTTCTCTTTTGACATAGCCAAGCCAAATTTACGGATTTGAGACTAATGCCAAGTAGCAACTTGTCCATGGTCTGGCTTGATCCCGAAACCCAAACCATGGGGCACCTTTGTACTGTTAAACATTATTCTTTTCACATGTGTTTTACATACAGGATTTGGAAGTTTGTGTGAGACTCTGTTGTCAGAGAAAGTAATAAGCCACAGTTGTCCATGCATTGGTAACCCCGGTTGGATTACTGCAGTTAGATTACTGCACAAACTTTGCTTCACTCTATGTGGAACTCTGCGTGGGCTTGATCCAGAAGTTCCAGCTACTGCAAAATGTAACAACTAGATTACTTGTGGGACAAGCTGTCACCAGCATATAACACCTTGCTTCTCGGGTTTACACTGGCTGCCAGTTTGCTACTGGGCCAAGTCCAAGGTGTTGCTACTAACATGTAAAGTCCCTATATTGCTCAGGACCAGGTGAGGAATTAATCTGTTTAATCACTGTTTGCAAGTTTTCTAGAAGCAACTATATGTGCAATCTCCCCACTTTCCCCTTTATTTTCATTTCCTTTGCTGTTTGCTTGATTCCATATCCTCTCCTTTTGCCACTTTATCTTCCAATTTGATGAAATTTGGAACAGCACAGTACAGTCAGAGAGACACACTACTCCCATTGGAGTTGTGTGACTCACACTTCATAAAATGCTGTCACCAATAAGACATGCAAAATAGTTTTGAGTCTGCCCATACTCTCCTGTTTTCTGTAGTGGCACCCAAAGTTTGAGAAACTATGTCTCAACAAGAATGTGTATGCTGTGATAAGATTAGTTAGGAGCCACAGGAATTCCTAACTTCAGCTAGTGTGTTAAGACTATTTCTCTTAATTATCCCACTCACATTGTTGATCTTTGTTATTTACAACAGTTTCTGGCAATGAATTCCAAAGAGAATTTTTGTGTTGTATGAAATACACTAAATGAATTTAATTTCACTACGCTTCGGGCCCTTTTGATACATCAGTTCAATGACATTCATAACAACAGTAGAAAGAATTTTCCTAACCTCTAGTTATAAACAAGAGTTGTTCTGTGAAACTAAATATTTAGTTGAGAAATTGGTGAGAAATTCTGACATTAGTGATAGCCCAGAAGCTGTATCGGGAGATTCCTCCCACTCTTGATTAACTTTTTTACTTGTTACTTTCTCTCTCCCTGAAATATATAAAACAGAGCTGCCTGGATACTTAGGTGATGTGCAGATTTTAAATTTGGGAAACTATGTTGATGCATCATTTTTACATACTTAATATCTAACTGGTTGCCATATTTATATTAATATTTATAAGATTTTTCTTTTAGCTTCGGGTAACTTGCTTGAGACTTTCTTTTGTTGATTTTGCTAAACTTACTCCTTGTTCTGCACAATTGTATTATGTGATACACCATAGTTGTGCTTATGGTGTGCATGATAATAGATATCAACCTCACTGTGAGGTGTCAGTTAGGCTTATTGCCGCTACAATTTTAGGCGCTAATTACTACTATTTTACTATGGACAGAGATGTTTTTAAATCTTTAATGCAAAAAAAAAAATAATATTTAGGATTAGTGTGTTTTCTTGTTCCAAGCCTGTAATCCTGTATACACTTTCTAAGCAATGAGATCCCTATTGAGCACAGCAGAACCTAACTTCTAAGTAAATGTGTGCATAGTACTGTGTTATTAGAGTTCTGCCTCTAGACATAGATGATATGTGTGGCATTAGCTGAGTAGACTATTTTCTAGAACCATTGAAAAGTGTTGTATAAGATCAAACTAATTAAACAGTAAGCTTAAATAAATCTTAAAAACAGGTTGTACCAAGGCTGCTGGGAAAAAGGAATTTAACAATGGTTGATTGTTATGGGAATAAACCATTGTTATGTTCCTTCTTCCCTGCAGGCCTTGGTGCAACCTGGTACCCGCAAAACACCTAAAAGAGCCTCATTTGAATGTCTGCTACCTCCGCCCACATTCTGCTTTAACACTTAAAGGTAAAGGACCCCTGACAGTTAAGTCCAGTCGCAGACGACTAGGGTTTCAGCGCTCATCTCTCTTTACAGGCCAAGGGAGCTGGCGTTTGTCCGCAGACAGTTTTTCTGGGTCATGTGGCCAGCATGACTAAGCCGCTTCTGGCAAAACCAGAGCAGCACACAGAAACGCCGTTTACTTTCCTGCTGGAGCGGTACCTATTTATCTGCTTGCTTTCGAACTGCTAGGTTGGCAGGAGCTGGGACCGAGCAACGGGAGCTCACCCCATCGGGGGGATTCAAACCGCCGACCTCTTGATTGGCAAGCCTGAAAGGCTCAGTGGTTTAGACCACAGCACCACCTGCGTCCAGCCTTAACAAACCTCTCTGCCATCTAGTCTGATGAAGGGTCTTAGAAAACATAAAAACGTATGCACTATTTAGCTGCCTTTGCTTTATGTGTGTCTTATCCAAAGTTTGCTTGGTGCATGCACAAAATTAAGTGAGATATATATATATATGTATGTAACCCAAGTCATGGCTTGCTGCTTGTGAAACTTGCTTTTAATCATTAGAACACCTATTTGAAAGCCCATATCCCCACTGTTTCTGTAGTAAAGTGCAGTGCACAGGACTCCATAGTAGCATTTTCTAATCTTGATTTAAATTGTGATAGTTTAGACCAAGCTTCAAACTAGCTAATGTGACCAGAAAAGTCTTGCTGAAATCAGTGGGTTAATAGGTCATTTTCTGGAGCAAATGGTTTGCAATCTTAAATAATAGCACCGAACACTTGCCTCAAAATGTCATGGTCTCAGTAACTTAAAAGGTTCACACTGATCTGAAGCCTGCTTCATAATCACTATTCTGCCGGAGTATATCTGTTTTATATTTCTAGTAAATATTTTAACAGTAAAATTATTTCCCCCCTGCCTTCCTTTCTGTTCTAGTTCACATTCTAACAGCTTCTGAGATGCATTTTGTAGTAATAACAACAATAATATCCTCAATCCATGCATGTTATTCTTCTCAAAGTGAGATGGATGGCTCAAGTTGATAAAAAAAAAATCCCATAGCAAACCTGTTTTGCTATATGCAGCACATTCCAAACCACACAGCTTTTGGAGTGAAATTTCCCACACAGGTCACTTGATCCACAAAGAGTACCAACTGCCTAGTTGTTTTTTTAAAAATAATAATAATGAAATTCATGCATTCAAAAAAGAGCAACAGATTTACAATTTAGAAATATTGTATAACTATATGTAATAACATTTTATTTCTTTCTGCACACAAAACTATTGCTTGGGAAAGTATGTTGAGGATGCTTAAGTTGTGCTTAATACTGTAGTCTATAGTTCGTTTAAATTTGGTTGGATTTGTATTCTTGCCTTTATACTATGGAAACATTAGTGGGTTTGCTATCTAATGTAGAAGCACAGGGAGGGAATTCTTCATTATTACAATTCAGATTTAGGTTACGGTCCGCTTTCATTTTCTAAGCTCTTCTAGAAAAGTGGATTGGTGGCAGTGTCATCCAAAGACGGTTTGTTGTCTGATGTGAAGGGTAAGATGCTCCCCCTCTCCTCTGGTTCAGCATACAGAAGCTGAAGTAAGTTAACATTTACTTCAGCAATGACAACACTACTGCACAGCATATACTCTACGCTTTGCCTAAGAACAGCAATCTAGTTTAGGGAATGCAGAGCAGGCTAGGTAGCACCCACAGCTTTGCTCTTAAATAACGGGCTGCTTCTCAGTCACTATTCTACCTGATGCCTGCCCACTTACACAGATTCCACAGTGACAGTGTGCATTTTGTGAGCAAAGCAACATACACGCTTCCAATACTTGCTGGAGTGCATAGCTTGGGCTGTCTTGTCTTTCTACCGGGTCACTTAATCAGATGATGATGATTTTACTATTTGTACCCTGCCCATCTGACTGGGTTGCCCCAGTAACTCTGGGTGGCTTCAAAAATATATAAAAACATAATAAAGCATACTACATTAAAAGAGATCTTTCCCAGGGGGTCTTTCCCAGTTGTGCTGTCATTGGCATTCTGGGAGAAGATGACTAAATGAGTCATCCAGCCATCCCAGGCCAGCAACACACAAGCAGTGCTGCTGGGACGCAGATTTAAGGGATGGGGACAGCCAGGAGCAGAGACTCGGGGTGGCGAGGACAGCTGGAGGATTTCGACCAGGCCCCCTAGCATCTGCCAGCTGAAGCAGTCATGTTCTGTCTCGTGGTAGCCTCAGCTTTGATTCACTGACAAATCATGGTTTATACTAGGAATGTGCTTACCTCTTACCTCTCTAACATTTAGTATGCCATTTCCGTAGCATTTTGTCCTTCTTCAAAAGCTACACGACAAGAAATTGAAACCGAAACAGAGGACAGCCACAAACCTATCAAAGAGCTTTAATAATATAGCATGAAAGGAACTAACAACACTGAGATAATGCCATGGGCCTACATTGTTTTGAAATCTTTCCGTGGAACATGTGGGCATTATAAATAGTAGGCCCCAGACTGGTGAGCCTTACCTACAGCATAGCTGTCAACCTTCCCTTTTTTTGCGGGAAATTCCCTTATTCCAGCGCCGCTTCCTGCTGCTATCCCGGATTGTTAGATATCCCGTAGACTGTCTGCGGGACAGGTGAGGCTGCTGATCCCTTATTTTCAAATCCGAAAGTTGACAGCTATGCTATTGATCCCTTATTTTCGAGGCTGCTGATCCCTTATTTTCAAATCTGAAAGTTGACAGCTATGATCTACAGAGGTTCATCTCTGTATCTTTTGAGCATGTTCAATTGGAGGGTAAAGACCTACTAGACTTGACAAAACACTAAAGTAGAACTTGGGGAACAAAAGTCCCGAAACTGGCCTTATGTGCCTGTGTTGTGCCTTAAGCTATGACTCTTGCCACATTTATTCCAGATCAAATTAAATAATATATCAAATAATTAAAATTTGTTGTCCTAATATCCCCACAAGGAAGTCAGAATGCTAGGCATATATTTTTCCCTGCTCTTTCAACCACAGTTCTGTGAGACTGAGAGAAGTGACTGGTCTAAGGTCACCTGGTAAGCCTTGTCGGCAATCACAAATGATAACCTGGGTCTCCCCAGCCTTAAGTCCAACACATTAACCAGTGCTGTTTTTCTAGAAAAGAGGTGCCAGAACTCACCATGAGCACTTCCCTTGTTCTATTACAATGGCAATGGTGCCTACCTGAGAGATGCCAGAACAGATGAAAAAAAGCCCTGACCACTATACATAAGTTTTTCTTTTAAAGTTAGTTAACCACTTAACTTAACCACTTTTGTAGTATTTTAACTGTAAACAAAGAGAGAATGATACTCATGTTAATAAATATGTGCAGGAACAAATGTCAATAAAAATTGGGGGGGGGGGGAATAAAAAGAGAATACTGATAACAAAACAAACCACCACCAGTCAAATTCTGGGTACGGTACCTGCATCTTAAGTTAACAATATAAATTAATTTAAGCCAACCAGATGTCCAAATAGGTATCCATACAAAACTAATGTATATATTTGTTTAAATGTAACCAGAGCAGTGAGGTCCTCAGACCATTGTATAATAAATGGTTGGTATTTATCCTTCCAGGCTCACAATCTATAAGTCTCTTAGCAACCATAAGGGCTCAAAAAGCCCACTTTTGTTGTCCTGCTGTTATTCCTCATACCACAGGAATATAATTTAGAAGTAAATGAACATCTGCAAATATCAATGATTTTGCCCTCCCCCCAAACTGATGTGGATAACAACTTCAGTCCAAAGAGAATATCATATGCCTCAATGAGGAACTGCAGTTTATATCAAGTCATCCTCCGCGCAGGTTAACTTCATTTATTTTGAGATAACATATACAAAGTAAAACTGCAGAAATTGCACAGTTTAAGAACATGGTATAATGTAGCACACCAAACAGACAAGATGACAACAACAACAAAAATAAAAAACATAACCAGTTAAACAATCCAAATAGCAATAAGGAAAGTTAAGTAATGGGTGGGGTGGAGAGGGTGGGATAGGAGATCAAGTTATCATAACAGAGTCCCTCTAAAGGCAGTTTTGAGATTGCGGAGGGGCTAGTCCCACTTCTACTGTATTAATTAAAAAAGGAAGGGGAATCAAATAGATTTGAATATTTGTGATGGTTTTGGAGTTTGTACACCAAGGACTGTGTGTATATATTCCTTACTTTGATATTGCAGTGTTCTGTCTAATATGGCCCATGATGGTCACTTGAAAGCAGTGGTTGCTGTGCTCTTGAAGTGCACTGACCACATTATTGACAGATATACTATTCATTCTAGAACTGAGTTCAGGGGAAACTGCTTCTGCCTGAAACATTGAGGGAGCCCAGTCTTTTTTAACATTTACATTGCTGGTAGGTATATGTATAGAGAGCAAAGCAAGAGGAAGCCAGGCTCATCCAGTAGTAGAAGGGGGGAAATCAGCAGCTATTTTTAGGTACATTTGGATGCAACCTAGGTGAAGAAAACATGGTATTCAGAACATATGCCAAATGATCATAGATTTCCAGATTTCAAACTCAATTTATTTGCAGTCAGATACCTAAAATGCACAAGAGAATAACCATATAACTTAATGAGATATCCACATTTGTGAAACCATGACATTGTTACACATAGCACAGTTTTGGTAGTCTTTTCTCCTGCACTGATTGTAATTTCAAGTAACCCAATTTCAAATCTGTTGACTTTGGAAGAAACTGAAAACTTCCCAATATTATTAGCAGGTGTGATTTGCACAGAAGGTACTGCTAAGATAACTGCACAGAGACAGAAACAGTAGACATTTATTTTACAAAGAAGTAGAAAGGGATTTGTGGGCTCAAGACTTGTTCCTGTAGTGTTAAATCATAGTTTGCCATTATGTCTGGACCATCTACTGAGGTTGGGTGATGTTGTTCCGGGGGGGGGGGGGGAGTAATTTATTATTATGTTCTGATATTTAAATATGTCGTTTTTATAGTTGGATATATGTGCCTGCATCTGAAAAAAAAATATGTAAGGGATAAGCGAGAAGCCAATTAGATACAATTGATAGTATCAATTTATTGATAGCATCAACATATTGGGAGAACCTTCTTATAGACAAAATATGGGAAGACATTAAGATTCTCATCTTAATATCCTTAGCTATGCATGGAAAGTCTCATTGAAGTTAATGGGCTAAAACACATAAAAATTAGTGCAGAGCTGCATCCTGAATGAATAATTGATCATTGTCAATTTCCTGTACAAGTGTTCACTGAGGGGAGAGAAAATTTCATGCCTGTGAAAACAGATCTTTCATTAATACCCAAAAGCCAGAGAGAACTTATAGAGGGTTTTTGGGTGTCCCCCCCCCCTCGCTAGGACCAGTTGAAAGTTGCAGTAATATACATGGCAATGACCTGGTTCACACTTCACATTAACACATAAGCTAAACTATTGCTTATTTTACAATTCTGCTTCTGCCACACAATGAATGAAGCAAGCCTGAGTCTGTCTCATCACCTTATCAAACCTAGGCTTGTGGCTTTACCCCTCCATACAAACATTGAGAAACAAGCCAAAAATGAACTTTAGTTACTGCTCAGAGTTTATTTGGAGAGAGAGAGAGAGAAACAAGCTTGGATTCTAGACAACACAAGCCAGACTGGCTTGCGATGTCTGGTGTAGCATCATCAAGAGGGGTTGGGGATGCCACAGAAACTTTAGAGCAGCATGTTCCAGTACTCAGCTCATTCCCGTTAAATCATAGTTTGCTTTCAACCAAGGTTTAATGTGGTATGCAAAACTTATGTCATTTTGTAATTTCAGAACTTATTCATTCTTTATTGCTTGGCATAATGGTGTGCTTCAAACAAAGGGCAATATATTTAAAATCTTTACATTAGGTGTTGCTAATTGGGATTTCCCCACAAATACCTGTGAAATTATCATGTTTTCAGCTTCGTGTTTAAGGATGTTTTGATGTCCACAAGAATACTGGATCTGAATATGCACACGTTTCTTGATACAAAAGTGGCAAACAAACTTGAACATATTGTAAAGTGTAGAAACGTCTTACGCATTCATAACTCCAGGTGTTGTTATATGGCTGTGTCAGGGACAAGTGGCAAATAAGGTCTGGGATGTCTGGAAGGCTCAGTTTCTGAATCCAACAGAAATATCAGTCTATATTGAAAAGCTTTGCCTCATTTGTGCAATTCATTTTAGCCTACGGCAATTGAAAATAAAGCTATAATTTTTCACAAGAGTCTATTTTGACATGAAACTGCCTTCAGAGCATAAATGAAACTTGTGAACTTGTAAGCTTTTGTTTTCCTTTGGTACATATATTCTGTTTAAATTATTTCAAGGATAATTATGTATTTAATTATGAAGGAACTTGCATACTGGGTGTCACTAGTGATTTATGCAGTGCAATATCCGGCCCATAGCATCAGTAAGTGCTAAATGCCCCAGAGAAGGAAACCAGGGCACATAGGAAATGACACATGCCCTGTTATTCACTTCCAGCTTCTGGCAGTCAGATCTTTGGGGATACTTTCAGAATAAGTGCACATTATGCCTGATAATTATTTGAGTGTTCCAGGAATTCGTCTAATCCCTTTCTGGCTCCCAGTTACAATTTTACTGATCATGGTATCCTAGAGCAATGAGTTCCACAGGTTAATTTGTACATTCTGTACAAAAGTATTATTGTTTTGCACCAGCTACTTTATTGATTTAATTTCTTCCAGAAACAAATCTATTGACCTTTACCTTAAACTTTTACAACTCTCGTATGAAAGTTTTTACATAGGCCTATTAATATAGCAACAACAAACATGTTTATGCTGGTTGGGGAAGAATTCCACACTGTGTTTAAAATAAAAGGGCACTCTGGATTAACAAGTGGTGTGTTTCACATTTCAAAATATTTCATAAAATGTATTGTTTGTACAAATCTAGTGCTTCACCATGAGATATCATTACCAATGACATTTTTAATAAGCAGTGACCACTACTAAAGTATTAACACCATGGTGTATTTATTATAATCAACCTATAAATTTCTATTTAGAGCTTATTCACTTAGAGTAGCTTGCGTATATACAGATGTATAACCTTTATCAGAAAGGTGGGTTATACATCTGTAAGCCTACATTTCCAAGTATAATTAAAGAACATGTGGAAAACTCTGTTGGAAGGAATCCCAAAATTCATCCTTTTGTATATAGCCCTTAAGGGCATCCCTTATTTAATATACTGTAATCATATTTGAAAGAGTTGTCCCCTGTTTCAAATCACTGTCCACAGGACATTAAAGATTCTCCTGGTGGCAGGTGACCGCAGGTGACAGGCAGTTCCACGTTGTCCATTATAATTGTATTGATAAAGCAGAAAACTCACTTGATTGTGCAGAGGAGGTCATTTATGTGGCAGAGGGAATGAATAAATAATTACATTGACAAAAGAGGCAAAGGAATGACTTATCTTTGGTATTTAAAGAATGCTAACTAACTTGCTTCCCAAGAGATGTGGACACGTATTTTCCAAATACTGTCAAGTCTCTTGGTGATTCCGAAAGTCTCAATCCATTCTGATGTTTGCATCAGAAGCATTGTGTGCACCTAACCACAAGTAGATCACCTATTAGCACCAGGGGAGCAGAGAGTGGGATCTGGCTTGATTCCCCACTCCCCTAAGTATGATGTAATTATTAGATTAGCTGTGTTTAGGCATTTAAACTCTGCCCCTAATAACCCCTGGTGTGTGGGATTCCCTTCAGATTTTTGCACAATATTGCATTTCTTCTACTTGATTTTGGGCGATTTTCCTCCTTCCCCCACCCACACTGCAGCAAAAGGAAAAAAGGGGGGGGGGTAGAGAAGGGAAAGATCCATTGCACAAGCCACTTTCCACTTTGATGTGCACATGAGTACACACAACCACATATTGTTTTTTCTGTTTCATATGGCATATTCACCTAGTAGCATCTGTGTTTCCAAATAATCTACTCTAGATAATGCACTGGTGTATCATTTAAAAAAGGAATCAATATAGTGCTCAGTATGCCAAAGTCTTGAAGCATATCTAGTTGGGGGATTATGTGATTTTTTTTTCAGTGGATATAGTTCAGTTGTCTACAAATTAAGTAACTTTTAATATCCATCTAGAGTCAAAGTTTAAATTGTTGTACTGGGCTTTCTTTGAAATCACAAATGCATCTGAAATTCTCTTCTCTATATAGGTCTTAGATCAACAGTGATGAATTCAGCAGCAAAACTGGTTCACACGGTCACTTGAAGTCATTACCTTGTTAGGTGTAGATTCTGGAATATTTGGCAGTGAAGCTAGTTTTTGTGATATTAATAAAAAAATAAGTATTTCATCTAAGAGCATGAACTTGGCATTTTGAAGTATCAGAGTGAAGAGTTGGCATAGCCGCAAACTCATCTGATTGCCCTAAGGCAGGCCACTATTTCAGTCTCTAGTCTCAGCCCTCCAGTTATAGTGTGAGGCAAAATAGCGCTGACCTAATTTACAAATTGTTTTAAGAGCTGCCAAAATAATGTAAATGTTGAGGACTCCAGCTCCCATTCATCCCAGCCAGTCACGAATGCTGGAAGTTGCAGTGTAGCAGCGTTTGGAGTCATAGTTTCCCCATCCCTAGCCTAAAGTCACCAAGTGAACTCATGGCAGAGATTAAATTTAATCCACAGGTTTGCGCCCGTGTGCGCGCGCACACACACAAGTTTTTGGTTTCGTTTTGTTGTATTCAATTGTTTTTTCTTTTCCTTTTTTTTTGCTGAGGAATTTTTTTGTGGGGGTCTGGCCTGCTTTTTTAAAAATCAATGTTTTATGTGCTTTGGGATATGTGTAGGTGTTCCACAGGGTGTTTTTTTTGGGGGGGGAGGACATAGTTTAGAGCATCATCAGCTTTCCACGTCCTGTGAAATAGGTATTTGATGCTGACCACAACAGTTTATTAAATTTCTGTATATGCCCTCAAGCTGCTGTAATTATCCTATAAAAATGAATTGTAGTTAAAAAACCCCACCAAATAATATGATTCCTCAAAATATTTTTTGAGATTCAAAATTTTCGAGTAGGTACTCTGGTGTTTTAAGTTTCCTGCCAAATTAGCTGCTTCTTCCCTTATGCTTTGAACCGAGCCTTCATTACTATTGCTTATGGTACTTAGTTTAATGTTTACTTCTAAAAATGGTTTGTCCCATTTGCTATGGTGGTATTTAACTAACAATGGGCACTGTTGTGCAGGAAGTTCTCCTGTTGAAATAAATACTGAATGCATAAGGGCAGCAATTAGTCAGTTAAATATGCGATCATCAGGCTGGGGTATCCAGTGGTCCCAAGGATAGTTATTTATAGTTTGAATTAAATAATCTTCTATTTATTTTCATCTGTACAGGAACTGTAATAATAAAATCAGAAACCACAATACAGTGATACCTTAGTTCTCAAACTTAATCTGTTCCAGAAGTCTGTCCGACTCCTGAAATGTTTGAAAACCAAGGTGTGGCTTCTGATTGGCTGCAGGAGCTTCCTGAACTCAAGTGGAAGCTGGATTGGATGTTTGGCTTCCAAAAAACGTTTGAAAACCAGAACACTTATGGGTTTTCAGCATTCGGGAGCCAATTTGTTCGTCAACTAAGCCGTTGGAGAACCAAGCTTCCACTGTACTAGCTATTAACTATGTTTGACCAAGATGAATGTGAAAATATAATCAAATCATCTTCAGTATCATAGGTTATAGTCAACTTACTTAAGAAATGAGTAATATATGATAGTATGGCCATTATTTGTGATCGGTCTTTTGGCATTCCACAGCTCTGTTTACTGAAACTGAAGATCACTTCAGTGCATCTATATGTGTGCATTTATATGTGTGCATATATGTGTATGTGTGCATCTATAAAAACTCTTTGTTTAGAAACTGACGACTCTGATCAAAATGGTAATGGATCTCATTTTTGTTTAATGGCTGAATCAGTCATGTGTAGAGCCAAAATGATGCCCTCCAGGTGTTTTGGTCTGAAACTCTATCAGCTTCAGCCAGCATGGCCAGTGGTCAAGGATTATGGGAATTGTAGTCCAGCAACATCTGGAAACCTCCCATCTTGGGTTTCCTTGCTGTAGACAAGGGCCATTTCATGGATTACATTTTACAGTGAACTCTGTTATACAGGCAACTCCCGTTTTAGGCGCATCCAATATGTGTGTGATTGCACACACTCACACAGCGCTAAACCTGGAAGTAACTTGGAAACATCATAAAAGACATCACTAAAAGGGCAGGGACAGAACAGGAACGGAAAGAGGTGTCTCACTTGCATGTGATTTCATGCAAATGCTCAATGTCCCAGAACACAAACCCCATGCGAATCGGGGGTTGCCTATACAGTGGTGCCTCGCAAGACGAAATTAATCCGTTCCGCGAGTCTCTTTGTCTAGCGGTTTTTTCGTCTTGCGAAGCAACCCTATTAGCGGATTAGCGCTATTAGCGGTTTAGCGGCTATTAAAGGCTTAGCGGCTTAGCGGCTAAAAGGCTATTAGCGGCTTAGCGGCTTAGAAAAAGGGGGGGAAGCGAAAAAAATCGCAAGACTCGCAAGACTTTTTCGTTTTGCGAAGCAAGCCCATAGGGAAATTCGTCTTGCGAAGCGCATCGAAAAACGGAAAACCCTTTCGTCTAGCGGGTTTTTCGTCTTGCGAGGCATTCGTCTTGCGGGGCACCACTGTACAGGCTTAAAATGTGTTTTATAGTTGTCTGTGCATTTATTAAAGCACGTGTTTTGAAGTATGATAGACCCCTACACACTCCTGGAACTTCTTGATGAACTGTGACAACCAGCAGGAAAAACCAATATAGGAAAACTCATTTTTCCTTGAAGTGCCCCCAAGAGGGTTTAAAAAAAAAGAATTTTGAGCTATTCACCTTGCAACCTGTTTCAAATCTCTCTGTTTTGGGAGGTAACATTAGTGTCAACTAGGGGTAGATCCTTTTCTGTTGTGGCACCCACCCTAAAGAGTACATTGTTAAGTGAGGTTTTCAGGCCTTAAGACTATACTGCTTTAGGCAGTTGGTGAAGACCCGGCTTTGGGAAAAAAAGGTTTTTGGTTAATTTGGTAATTTTTGCTATGTCAGTTCCATTTTCCTCTTGTGTTGCTAGAATTTGTTAAACAAGTTGGATATTGTTAAAAGTATTAATTGGATTTTTAAAAATGATTGTTGGTTCTATTCTGTTTTTACCAATATTTGCTAGCTGCCTTGAGTTTATTTGGAGAATAGTTTGGATAGATTTAAAAAATCAATAAATCACAGGTCAACTTACTATATTGTATTATCAAGTACAAATGAATCAAATAGTGAGATCATCCAAGGCAAATGTTTATTCAGGTGCAAAAAACCTCAAGTAAAATTATTCTCTGAAGGTGAAATGACCTGATTTTTATAGTGAAGTCAGAACTAATAGGATTATTCTAGTTTCTGTTTTACTTCTAAGTAAGAAAAATAAGATGGACAGGTTGCTCTAGAGACACCTGTACTATGATGGAAACAAAAATATAGATAATTGTGTATTGAATATGATGCTTGGAATAGTGCAAGAAATTCAGAAAAATTGGCCCTGTTTCCCAGGTGGGCAAAATCCATAGCTGTCAACATTTCCCTTTTTTTAAAGGGAAATTCCCTTATTCTGAATAGGATTCCTTGCAAGAAAAGGGAAAAGTTGACAGCTCTGGCAAAATCTGATCATCTAGAATTTGGAATTGATTGGGCCGCTTTTTGAGTGTGTGCTGTACATAGTGATAAACAAATGTCTAGACTTTCTGTATGTGGAGGACATTCTAACAGGCTTCTTTACATATAGCAGCCCTTCCAGAGGTGGAGTTTTTGTCACATCTGTCTTGAACCTCCCAGTGGGTCCGTATGTGTTTCCCTTGCTCTTTCTGCTCACCTGTCCACTGCCCATACTTCTTGGCTGTTTCCAGTACCATCCTTCTTGCAGTGTGTGACCCCAAAATTTGCCAAATAAACTCTTAAGACATATTAAATCTTGGAATCATAATATACCAATGTCAATATAGCTAGTCATGTTCACCCATAATATTTAGCTAGTCTAATAAAAGATGTCATTAATTATTTCTGTCCTAAAACAAAACAACAACAATAATCTTCTCTGTGCTCTACCAATGTATAATGTGCATTTGGTATGAACAGAGGGAGAGGCTTTCACATCTAGTCTATATTTCTTCTAGTTTTTCTTAATTTCTTTTATATTTTTGGTGTGCTAGTTTTAATGTTTTAATGTGTTGGTTTTTTGCTTAGAAAATTGTTTTTTGCTTAGAATATTGTAAGTTGCATGTGGCAAAAAAGGACTAATAGGATAATAATGATAATGGATTTTCAGTACAAGCCTTCTGGACCTCACTTCAGTTGAGAAAGAAGCATTCCTTAAAAGAGGAGAGACCATTAAATCTTGACTCATGTTTGAAAATATCACAGAATGTGTGCTATTCTTATATGTCTATTTAGTTTGAAAATAGGAGCGGTACCTATTTATCTACTTGCACTTTGACATGCTTTCAGACTGCTAGGTTGGCAGGAGCAGGGACTGAGCATCAGAAGCTCACCCCATCGCGGGGATTCGAACCGCCGACCTTTTGATCAGCAAGCCCTGGGCTCAGTGGTTTAACCCACAGTGCCACCCATTGTTGGTACATATTGCTAAAAACGAAGAGATCATAGGCATGCTACTGTAATTACATCTTCAGATGTTTTAGAATATTTATTGTGATGCATCTTGTGTAATAAGAAAAAACCCAATCTAGATCTTATATTCATTTACATTTCAAATTAAGTGATGTTTAATATTGCCCACATACTCAACTGATTTATAATAAACAAATATTTCAGTTTGGGGAAAAACTTGGCTTTGATTCTCAACAAGTTAACCATTTATTTATGTTTGTTATAATTATTCATTGCTGCCGTAAACTCTTGTTTTCTGCAAAATATGCTGGTATGTTTTGAAAGCAACCACGCTACTGTCCACTTAATTCCAATCCTTTTTAAACCAAGTTTTATATTGTACATATTACCTCCGTATAGAAATAAATGTTAAAGGGTATGTTTGAATCAACAGTGTCTTAGAAATTGCTAGTTTTAAAAATGAGCTTTTGGTGAAAAAGCGGAGAGAGATTATTGACTTTTGAATATATTTTTGCAAATTTTAGGAGGCGAAATTAAGGATGGGTAGACAGGCTCTGCGAATCTGGTGAGGTGATGGTAAGTGATAAAGGACTGTACAGCAGCGAGGAATTGGTTATATCTAATAATCAGTTCTGTAGGAACTAATGAAAAAGCATTTCATCCCTATTGATATGCCTGTGTTTCTGCTGTTGCATCTCTCCCTGTTCTCATTCTGTTTGTTTCCCCTTCCTCCTCATGCCTACTCCTCAGCTGCCAATTTATTTTATGTCACCTTCTCCATTTTGCTGTTCATGAAAAGTAGCAGATTAGCATCCTCAAGAGAGGTCAATCCAGTTAAGAGTTTGAGCCACCTGGTTTTTACTGTCCCACTTTCAATATTAATATTGAGGGTTTTTAGTACTGTCCATAAATCTTTGGGATAAAACCACTGGGAAGTTTTCCCTACTCTTTCCCCTTCACATCTCTCTTGTATGGTATTCTATCTTTCCCCACTAGGTGTACACTGACCAGGAATAATAAAATGATAATTTCTTAGAATGGGTATACACTGTGGGTGTCCGCTGACCACAGGATTTTGTTCAGACCTTGATGATGTGCTTTGGGGGAAAACCTGCTTTCATTTGAAGTCCTTCAGAATCTTTTTTAATTGGGTTTGGATTCTAGCTTCACTTCAGAAAAAAAAACAAGATTTTGTTTCCCTCACATGCCCCTTGACTATTACAGTGGTACCTCTAGTTGCAGACTTAATTTGTTTCAGGGTGCCGTTCGCACCCCGAAAATTCCGCAACTAGAGTGCCTTCTGTGCATGTGCGCGGCGCAATCGGGCGCTTCTGCGCATGTGCAAAGCATGCCGATCACTTCTGCGCATGCGCGAGTGGCAAACCAGGAAGTAAACACTTCTGGGTTTGCCACATTCATAAACTGAAAGTCCATAACAAGAGCAGAACGCAGCATGAGGTATGACTGTATAGGTGTATTTTTTTTTAAAGAAAACTCTCTTTTGACAGAAGTGGATAAGATTTGCAGGCATACTAAACCCTCCAGAAATAGGCAGATTGATCCAGCAGCATTTGTGCTGGACATCTGTGTGTGTGTGTGTGTGTGTGTGTGTGTATGTATGTATGTATGTATGTATTAAAGGAAATATCTATAACTTCTTTATTTTTGGAATGATGTTATTAAATTTCTATGGGAGCGAATCCTGCCACATTTCAGAAGAATAGTAGCAGTACCTTTTTCCACAAGGTCTGCCTTCACAGCTATGGGTTAGGTTAAAAAAAAGAAGAAAGATTTTATTTATTTATTTATTGTGGGCAATTGATCTGAAGTAGCAGATATGAGAGAGGCACCCCTAGGAAAGAAAGCTGTCAAACTTTAAAGAAAGTTTTTGATTGTGGGGGAAGAGAGTAAAAGGGAGCCACTTTCCTCACTCTGATTTCATTAGGGTGCACCAATTCAGTAGTGTTAGGTAGGTGCTAACAGCAGTTTTATTTGAAGGGTACTCTGGTATGTTCCATCTCACAGACCCTTAGTTCCCCACTTTAAAACCTCCATAATTGCATGTCCAAGTTGCTTCTTATGTGGAGGGGAGCATGAGAGTGGGAGAGAGAACAAGAGCTGCTGTGATTCCTCGACCTCAAACAAGCCCAGAATTCCTCCGAAGCACCTGACATCAGTTTAAAGTCATCCAAATCTGCTCCACGCCCCCATATACACACAAGTGGAGATACTTTCATATTTATTCAACCTACACGTTCTGCACATAGTTCTTATAAAGGGCTTATGCCCCCTTCCCACCGAAGAGCCTTTATGCTCGCGAAATTAAATGCCTTCCCCTCTGCAGTGACCAAAAGTAGATTCTCACACACCCCATATTAAGCCCATCTGTTTGCCTGCAACCAAGAAGTACCTGATTCAATGGACCACATTCTCTTAGTTTGCTCTCCACATAGTAGACCTTTCCAACAGATGTTGAGCAAAATGTTGGACCTTGGGCCTATAACTCCGTGAAGATGTAAAATGAGGTTTCTCCTGGCAGATCAGGACAAAGATATCACTGTTTTAGATATCACTAAAAAGATATCACTAAAAAGCTTCCTTTTTAGCCACAATTTTTTCGTGTTCCCAACGAACCATCATTTTGGGGAACAGACAGGGCAATATCTAAGTGCACATGATCACAGTGTGACCTTACAACCTTCGACAGCTTCACCCTTGTCCTTTTAATTATCCCAGTGACCTGAATTTTTTATACTGTGATGCCAATAAAGGTATTTGATTTGAAGGGCTTATGCAGACATAACATTTGTGATCCATTAAATACTGAGAAAAGAAATAGTGACTACCAACATCACTCAGTTAACTTCATGGATGAGCATGACATTCTACAAGAATCTTGCAAGATAATGTTATCAAGTCTGCACTCCGCCCTAGCAAAAAAATTATGACTAACTAATTTTAGTAACTGGCAAAATCATAGAATCATAGAGTTGGAAGAGACCACAAGGGCCATCGAGTCCAACCCCCTGCCAAGTAGGAAACACCATCAGAGCACTCCTGACATATGGTTGTCAAGCCTCTGCTTAAAGACCTCCAAGGAAGAAGACTCCACCACACTCCTTGGCAGCAAATTCCACTGTCGAACAGCTCTTACTGTCAGGAAGTTCTTCCTAATGTTTAGGTGGAATCTTCTTTCTTGTAGTTTGGATCCATTGCTCCGTGTCCGCTTCTCTGGAGCAGCAGAAAACAACCTTTCTCGCTCCTCTATGTGACATCCTTTTATATATTTGAACATGGCTATCATATCACCCCTTAACCTCCTCTTCTCCAGGCTAAACATGCCCAGCTCCCTGAGCCGTTCCTCATAAGGCATCGTTTCCAGGCCTTTGACCATTTTGGTTGCCCTCCTCTGGACACGTTCCAGTTTGTCAGTGTCCTTCTTGAACTGTGGTGCCCAGAACTGGACACAAATGAGCTAGCTCTTAAAACACAAGTATAATTCGAACCTTTTATTTGTTTTATCAAAATGTATTTGAAGGAAATGCAGTCTTGTGATTCTTAATTTTTAGCTCGTTAATAGGGGGCTGCATTTAAATAATTATTACAGAAGACTGTAGTCCCGTGACCACAAAACTGGGTGTAAGTGCCGCTGAACTCATTGTCTGAGTTCAGTATTTGGACAGGGAAGGTCTAATAATAATAATAATAATAATAATAAATTTATTACTTATACCCCGCCGGGCCTTCGTAGCCACCCAGTGGTGGCCTGTGGAGCAGAATAATGTCTCCAAGTCTTACTGGGCTCTTAGGTGCAGAGGCAGCCGATTTCTCCATCTCAGGCGCAACAAGAATTAAGACTGCCCCCCCCTCCCACCACCGGAATGCCCTGTATCTTGCAAATTTCTCTGAGAGCCTGAGCATTCCACAAAGGATTGCCGCTCGGCTTCTTACCCTGGGGGCAAGGAAGCCAAGTGGCATCATTGTGTGCAGGAACGCCCTGGTTCTCAAAAAACTTGGAGAGAGCCAGGGCATTCTGCATGGTGTTGCCACTCATCTTTTCTGATGGGTGTGTGTTCTGGTGGCAGCGGAAACAGTTGGGCAAGGCTGCTGTGACATATTTATTGCAGAGGTTTTGAATACCTGTGAAGGGGATTCTGGTAAAACAAACGTTTGTTGCCTGTATTTCTGCATGGAAAACAAACAATATAGAAGTTCTTCATTTCTAATTTTAACTCTCAGTTGTTTTATTTTTAAATAGTAGACTTGCTGTATTCCAATTCCCCCAAACTGGGTGGCCTAATTTGCATGTAATGCAAATTGTTTCCTAATTATGCACATTTTCCTGTGATTTTTTTTAAAAAAGAAGTTTTTTTAAAAAAGAGTGTGAAAATACTACTTGTCTGCAACAGGGTAATGTAGTACAGGTTTTTTGTGCCACTGAGTACGTACTAGGTTTCGACTGGAAGTGGTCAAGAGAGGACAATTTAATAGGCTGACTTGCTGAAAGCTAAAGGGTGATTTGCAGGAAGGATATTTGGCTGAAAATCCAAATCAGCCTAATTGCTACCCTGCAATATCAGTGTTTTATATCGCTCCACCACAGCCCTCTGCTCACAATGTTGGATTATGCTGGTGTTGCTTATTCTCAAGGCCATTTTAAAAGTTTTTTTTAAAAAAAGAAATTTCGACATGAAGTAAGGCTGAGTTCAAAAAAGAATGAAGTCACGTTGCTACTTTTTGTTTGGTGAGGGAGCATGCTGCTGATTAGTAACAGGTATGCTAAAATACTTGGTCTCTCCACCATTTTATATAAGCAGCTGTCGCTTTCACCCAAGGTGTGGGGAATTTTAAAAGGAACTTGGACGTTCCATCTCCAGGCAACTGAATTGTGACTCTTGTTTTTCCTATTTCTATGGATGTAGCTACTCCTTTTTCATGTCAGTTACAGCTGTGATTTCTGTCATTGGCTACAACAACAAAGGTGAGAGAGGACTTATAGATCACAAAATGATTTTGCACATTCTTCTTATTTCTGATTCTATAAGAGCTATCAAGTTGCTTTATATATACGAAAACTGGGAATCTAGCCTTGCTAATAGGGTTAAACGGGCACCAGCTTGCAAAGCTGAGCCAGCTGGACCATATGACAAATATTGTTAATAGTGTGTGTGTGGGGGGGGGGAGTTTATGAAGCAGTATTTTATTTTTGTTTTTACAGTCCCATAATAGAAACATGCCTGTTGTCTTTGTCCATGGAGTTTTCTTGGCAGGGATACTGGAGTGGCTTGCCGGTTCCTGCTCCAGGTGGATCACGTTTGGTCAAAACTCTCCACTATGACCTGTCCATCTTGGGTGGCCTGCGCGGCATAGCTCATAGCTTCTCTGAGTTATTCAAGCCCCTTCGCCGTGGCAAGGCAGTGATCCATGAAACATGAAACATGTTCTAAAAAACTAGAAAAAGATTTATCTAAAAGTTAGCACTTGGTATCCCACATTCTTAAATGTAGCAAATATGCAATTAAACCTAAGTTGTAGATTAGACTTCTCTAATACGCACAGGAATGAATTATGAGGAACCATATATCCTGTGAACCAGGACCAGAATTTCACTAATATGGTAGATGTGAAAACATATAGCCATAGTAGTATTTGGATATTTTTCATGTCTGCAATGAAAGTGGATTCTAGATTCAAAGTTCCATGAAATTTCTCACATTTGCACTGAGTTATAAAGGTTTGCAAGATACCGTATTTTTTGCACCATAACACTCACTTTTTTCCTCCTAAAAAGTAAGGGGAAATGTCTGTGCGTGTTATGGAGGGAATGCCTATGGGTGGCATGCCTACGGATTTTCCTCCTCTAAAAACTATGTGCGTGTTATGGTCGAGTGCGTGTTATAGAGCGAAAAATACGGTAATAGTCCATCCCCACCAGGTGGCCTGTAACCTTTCATGGTATGCAGTTGTTCAGGATAGTACTAGTCGGTATTTGTAAGAGTGATGACTGATAAGAGCAGCGCTGAAACCACTGTGGTACCAGGATGAGCTTTTCTTTGTCAGAAACTACTTTCCCAAATGGAAAAAGGGGTTTTGAAGTTCCTTGGTTTATTAGTTGTCCCTTGGCCTGCCCCTCAATCTTTTCGATTGCTTCATTTGTTTTTCAAGTTTCCTTTCCTGGAGTTGTGTCTACAACCAGCAAAAACAAGACACATGGAATGTTTACATCAGTTAGACTTGCGGTATTAAGGAAACTTCGACACAAAACGCTGTCCGAATTACCGAGGAAAAGAAGAAATTGGGTGCCTTGATATTCTGATTTCTATTCTACGAATTCCATAATTCGGCAGTGCCAATCAAATATTTTTAATCTGCATGGATTTAGGTACATATTGAGATCATACTTCTCTTAATAATGTGTATCAGTTTACTAACAGTATGCAGTCCCAAGTACTGAGGGCAGATGGATTTTCAGCCTGGAGCTGGCACAGCATTTGGGCTCAGTACTATCATACCACAATAGTAGGGCTGGTTCAGAATCCCCTCTACCTCCCACCTCTGGTTTCAGCACTTTTCATTGGCTGCTACCTACCCACATGTTCGACAGGTGGAAGAGGGACCTCTGTACCAGCTGGGGGATGCTGCAGTCAGCTTTGCAGTTAAGGGCTGGAGGGCTTGGATGGAAGGTTAAGTTTCTTCAACCCAACTCCCAGTGCAACACAAAATTGGCTCGGATTGCTCTGTTAAAAATGTTGACCTATGTAGGCAGCTACAAACTTACTTGGGAGCTAGCCCCAGTGAATGTAGTAGAACTCAGTGACTAAGCATGTGTAGGATCGAGCCACACAGTTCTTTCTATGCAACCTGTAAATTAGTTGAGTTAGGATATTTTTGATTTACACCTCTTGACCACATCCACACATCTAAAGCACATTTAAAACACATAACTTTTCCCAGTGCTTTTTCCCCCCTAAAAAAATGTTTAGGGGTACTCTTCCTAAACATTAGGAAGAACTTCCTGACAGTAAGAGCTGTTTGACAGTGGAATTTGCTGCCAAGGAGTGTGGTGGAGTCTCCTTCTTTGGAGGTCTTTAGGCAGAGGCTTGACAACCATATGTCAGGAGTGCTCTGATGGTGTTTCCTGCTTGGCTGGGGGTTGGACTCGATGGCCCTTGTGGTCTCTTCCAACTCTATGATTCTATGATTCTTATTTTCTTACTCATATTGAAATACTGCCCCTCCATGAGGCCAAACGTAGATTCACAAAATGTTTAGGGGTATGTGTACCCCTGCGTCCCCCCAGAAAAAAAGCACTGGCTTTTCCCAGTGAATCCTGGAAATAGTTGTGTTTTAAGGGTGCTGGGAATTGTAGCTCTGTAGGGTCTAAGTTAAAGTTCTTAGGATGTGCATTAAATGTCACCTGCAAATGTGCTTTAAATATATGGTGTGAAATTAAGAACAATTAAATCAGAGCATTCTCTGTCTAAAGGTTTGTGGATGGCAATCTATATTTCTTACTTCATGTTTAGGAGAAATATTCTCGGAGCCCATAAAGATGCCGTTTTATGCCCTCCAGTTTATTTTTCTAAGCACATATTGACTGTATACCTTATGAAGTACCTTGTTGTATAATGCAGCAAGACCTCTACTATCTAAAATTTTCTGATCCAAAAAACTGATGGTTGTTTTTATTATCTAATTCCCATACAACCAATTGCCCAGCAATTGTCAATAGCTGTTGCCTTTGTCTACAATTCTGATTAGAAATATGTCCTTTATTACCCATCCTGGCCTCCTTACTTACCCACCTTTGGATATTTGAGGCTATACTGCAATATAAAATACGTTATTTATAGCCAAGCTGTTTTTTTAAACAGCATCTGGCCAGTTTTTACCCTTATAGAAGTTACTATTTGACTTGTTTTGTTAAGTGCAATAATGCAAAAATGTGGATGGAAAGCTTACATTTGAGAGACGTATAAATAATTAGAAATGATATTGTTACTTTGAGGAATACTCTGAGGCTGGACAATGAAGTGGCTTAGATGAAAGTGTATGTGATTAGGGAATTTTGCAAGCTAAGAGGGACAAAACTTATTTTGGGTGTCTGATGCATCCAGGTATCACTTCCAGATACTACATGAAACTAGCCTCCTACTCATATCAGCATTTGTGAAATCAGAGCTGTCCCCATGGCCCACTTTAGGTGTTACCGTTATAAAAAGGCCTCAGTGGAGAATGTACCTTGAACTGCAGCTGTGAACAGTGACTTGTGGAGAAAACTGCTGCAAATCTGTGCTGAGCTATGGGACTTGCTGGTTGGCCTTGAGCAAGTCACTATCTCTTTCGCCTCATTGTTGTGAGCTCCTTGGAGAAAGGGCGGGATAGCTAAGCAATGCATAAATGTTGTTATTTATTTTTTTCGTTTCCAAAACAGGATTGTGGGAGGGCATGCCCTAATGCTTTGTATGTGGGGCTGCCCTTGAAGATGGCTTGGGAGCTTCAATTAGTGTGGAATGCGGCTGCCATAATTTTTATCAGTGCAGCCAGATGGTATCGTGTTACACTGAACAAATCACATTGTCTGCCCTTTTGCTTCAGAGTCCTGGTGCTTTCCTTTAAAGCCTGAAATGACTTGGGACCGAAAGAGGTGAAGGAGCACTTTTGCCTCCCTGTGCCTTAAGATCTTCAGAGCAGGCTTTGCTTCACGCCCCACGTCAGTTCCATGTTGGTGCAGGATGGGTCCTTCTCTGTGATGGCACCGCGGCATTTCTCTCCTAAATAAGGCAAGCAGCTTCTCTGCTATCATTTTGGCCCCAGGTGAAAACTTACTTGTTTGCTCAGGCATTGTAACCATGACTGTGTGGTTTACCCAGTTGCTTTTATTTTAGGTGCCTACGTTACTAAATAGTTGCTTTTGTTTTGATGCATTTGTTATTAGTGCATTGCTAGTGTTTGTGTTTGAAATTGGTTGTTGTGGTGGTTTTGTTGTACCCTACCCTGGTATCAGAATCGATGAAGAGTAGGCTACACAGATACAAATAAATGTTACTCAGGCTGGAATCAGAAATAGATATTGGCATGAAATGGAATTATTGCCTGTCCTGTGCATTATCATTTCTTCTCCACCCCACCCCCCCACTTGTCGCCTTTGGATAAACATGATCTGAAGCGCTGCAATATCCTGCAAAACCTGCCTGCCAGAGACCATTATGCCTCTCCTCTACCACCTTGCAACTCTCTGAAACAACTAGAGAATGCCCCTCCAGCCTCGGGGAAACAAGTGTACTGGAAAACTACATATCTAGGGCACAAGCCCTGTTCAGTATAACCAGAATTTTGATAGGCCAGTACTCAACTCTGCTTTGATGAACTGTAAAAAAAAAAAAGTCACGTGAAAGGGCGGGTGGGTTATTGTTGTTGATGTTAGCAGTAATACTGGTATGCCAGTAATGCGGTGGCTGTTCAAATGTGCAGCTGAGCATAGACTACAAGAGCCAAGTCTTGTTCATGTTTCATTCTTTAGTGCCTTCTGGCTCCACCCTGTTCTTCTCTGTTCAACTGAAATCATTTTTCCGTGTTTCGTGTTAGCTGCTGTCGGAAGCTAGTATTCCTGCTCAGAAAACAATCATTTTCATAGCCCTAGCAACATTTTTTTTAAAAAAAACCTGTTGGATTTATTCATCTGTTTCCCTTTTCTGAAAAGAAAAAGCAACAGGCTGGGAAAGTCATGGTGATGGTGGTGCTGATGATTTAGAAAGGAATATCCTATTCACTATATTTGGCACAGTGTTATAATCAGAGTTGTAGAATTTTGCACCAAAAATAATGAGGGGTGAATCTGAAAGATGGATGGGTAGATGAATTAGTCTCAGGTAACATATGTCTGAGTATTTACTTGGAGATGGCTATACACTTGAGGCTATAATCCTTTCCCAAACACACCTGGTAGTGAAGCCCATGGAACTCAGTGGAACTTATTTCTGAGTAGATAGATCTGTTTGCATTAGATTAGGAAGTCAGTGGCTTAATACCAGGGATAGAGAACTGGTGGCCCTCCAGAAAGGGCTACAATTCCCAACACCTTCACTTGTTACGCACATTGATCATTGACATCCAGAGGACCGCAGATTCCGCACCTCTGCTTTAGACCATCAGTATTAATATTTCCGCATCTCTTAAGATGTACTTAACAGTAGTTCATGCTTTTGTCCCTTATTAGCATAGCTTTGGTTAAGTGCCCACTTCCAATGGTAGCCGGCTGTTACTTAGTAAACAGAAACGCTTTAGCAAATACTCATGCGTTGGGCTTTCCCCCTTCTGTTTCCACAAATAGTGCAACCCAGCCCACACACAATTCATTGTGTTGTAAGCTGCTTAAACACAGAGCAGCTTCAAAAGGAGAGTTTTTATGATGGAGCCTGTGAATGGTTTTGTTCAGTGGATGGTGTGAGTGGTAGAAAAGAAAGCTGCTACACGAGCAATCTGCAGCAACCTTCTTTGGATCGGGCCCGCAGTGATTAAAGGTAGTGTAGTTAGGCTGCAGTCCTGTACTTACATACCTGGGAATACGTCCCATTGAACTCAGTGGGTCTTATTTCTCAGGAAGCATGAGCAGGATTGCAGTGCAGTAATAGAGATCCCCATTGGTGTAATGTAGTGGCTAGGAGTTGAGCCAGGAGGTCCCTGGTTCAAATCTTACCCCTGCCATGAATTCAGGGGGGCAAGCCACTTTTCTCTTGGCCTTGGCTTCAAAACTGCCACAGGGGGACAAGAAAAGTAGCCTGCATTACAGGATTGTTGTACTAAATAGTATACGCAAAGCGCTTCAGACACTTGAAAGGTGTTATATAGGCATTAAGTAGTATTCTCTTTTTACCGCACAAGATGTAGAAGAGAGTAAATAAGAAAAAGCATGGGATTGGTGCAGAGAAAAAGACGTACAACTATGCTTAAGAAACCTCTGCTGGTAAAATTGAGAGATTGCCACCTGACTGCAAACAAGCATAGTTAAAATGATTTTTAAAACACGAAAGTGTAAATATTATCCTCACTATGTAATTAATTTTCTTTACTCAAGATAATAAATCAGGAATTACTCCAGTATTCTGCCCCTTGCTTTTATGAAGAACTTGCCTTTGCCACAAACTGCTACCAATTTTAGAAATATTTTATCAACGTTGACAATATTTACTTATATAAGTTAGCAGCACAGAGGTTAAAACATGATGAACAATTTTTCAGATTTTAAATGGGGGAAAGTATTTGATCCCCTGCTAAATTTGCCCATTTGCCCTCTGATGAAGAAATGACCAGCCCATAATTTTAATGGTAGGTTTATTGTAGCTGTGAGAGACAGAATAACAACAGGAAACCCCTCAGACACCCAGAAGACAGAAGTCAGGCTTCTGCTACATGTACTGGTTTTCCTGAGTACAGTGGTGCCCCGCAAGACGAATGCCTCGCAAGACGAAAAACTCGCTAGACGAAAGGGTTTTGCGTTTTTTGAGTCGTTCCGCAAGACGAATTTCCCTATGGGCTTGCTTCGCAAGACGAAACGTCTTGCGAGTTCTTGCGAGTTTGTTTCCTTTTTCTTTAAGCCGCTAAGCCGTTAATAGCCGCTAAGCCGTTAATAGCCGCTAATAGTCGCTAAGCCGCTAATAGCCGTGCTTCGCAAGACGAAGAGACTCGCGGAACGGATTAATTTCGTCTTGCGAGGCACCACTGTACCTCATAGGGTAACCACTTACACATCACCAACAAAGAGGAAATGCATTGCCAAAAAAAGGAATAGATTTTTGCATAAAATTAGCATAGGGTAATTTATTATACAGGTTTCGAAATGACTGTAATTTAAATAGAAATACAATATAGCTCACCATAGAGGAAATGAGTGTGATCAGGTAACCTTTGCACATGCTCATTCTGCTCTCTAGGTCTGAGGCTCTGCAGGGATCCTTTTTGCTCTTCCTTCTTAAGGTTCTGTATATTTAAACAGAACTTGGACTGGATGGGCAGTCCTCCAGATCAAGAATTGGGGAATGATCCATAGCTGTGTTCAGGAAGCACATTCATAACTCTCACGGAAATCAGAGGAAATTACTTCTCAGTAAATACTTACAAGACTGAGCTGCAAATCCTAGTGCAGGGGTGTCAAACTCAAATTCATCGGGGGCCGCATCAGCAGTTTGGTCACCCTCAAAGGGCCGGTTGTATCTGTAGGACCATGTGTCCACTCTTTATTATCATAAATTATTGTCACTGCATTCAATTATTACTGTTTTTTGTAATAATGTAGACGGTCCACTTTACATTTATTTTAAGGGTGTTTGGAGTGTGCGCGCACGCCTCTCTCTCTCTCCCACTCACCCCCCCCCCCACTAGCCACCCCATATTCCCAAAGAACAACTTGATCACGGGCATTGTCGGTCCTGGAAAGGCTGGCTGTGCAAAGATGGAGAGGGAGGCGAAATGAAGAGGAAGGGAAGCCCCGGGCTGGTGAAATCCAGCACGGAGGAGAAGAGGACGCCTCCCGCAGGGCGAGTTTGCACACCAGGAAGGATCGGGAAGCAATAGCAGGACGTGCGAGGAGAGAGGGGCTTTCGAAGCCACCCACCCTGGGAGCGGACTCTCCTTAAAAAATAAATCAATGATGACGATGGATTCTTAACATCTGGTGGGAATTTTATTTTCTCTCTCTTCCTGCTTTCTCCTCCTCCCGCCACCAAGCTCGTCGCCGCCGCCACCATCAGCATCTCTTTGCATTTGATGTGCGATTCTGGGAGGGGGGAATGCAGAGGAGTTGGAGGCAAGGTGAACGGATATAATAACGCGGAGAGTTTGGCGAGGAGAAGACGCGGATGCTCCGGATTGCTGACTTGCTCCTGGCTGAAATCAGAAATCCGATTGCGCACTGGGTTGTGATTGGAAATCTAATCAGATCCTGGGATCAGCAAGGGGGAGAGCATGAGAGCAGCGGAGGGGGGGGCAGAGAGGGAGAGAAGAAAAGAAGAGTCCCAAAGTTGGCGTTTCTGAGAAAATAATTTCAGATGTTGCAAGGGGACGCGCCTCGGTGGAGGGCGGAGGGGGAGACACGGGAAGCGCGGCCGTGGGAACCCCCGATGTAACGTGGACGCACATGGATCCGCTCACAGAGAAGGAGCCGCTTGGCCGGAGCTGAGCAGACATAACAAAATCGTGTTATTAAACCAAACAGCGGCCGTTTCAGACAGACGGGGCTGCCGCTGCTGCTGCTGGTGGCGGAGGCAGCAAGGGAAACCTTCCGCAGAAGCCAAAAACGATTCCAAGGTGGCTGAGGATTGGAAGAAAAGGGGAGTTTGGGGGGCGGGTGGGGAGGATCCAGCATCCCCGGAGAAGATCCAAGGCTGGAATAAAAAAGTTTCTCCGAGGAGAAAGACTCCCCCTCTGCGGCGCGGAGAGACCTGACCTTCCGCTTGCTCTTTTTGAGCAGTGAGCGGGAGAGAGAAGCCAGCTGCCCGCCTCGCTTCGGCCCCCGACGACGAAGACGCAAGTTGAGAGACGCGGGGACATTTGAAGCAGCAGCCACGTCCTTAAGAGCGACGGGGAGAGGCGAGTAGGGAGCCGCACCATGTAAACTTTCTTGTGTCAAAAAAAAAAAAAAAAGCGAGAATAAAAGGTGAAGGCTGGCGGCCGGCGGCAGCTACACGGGCCACATGACGAGGTCTGGCGGGCCAGATTCGGCCCGCGGGCCTTGTGTTTGACACCCGTGTCCTAGTGTGTTCACTGGGGCTTACTGTATAGTATGTTTAGGATTGCAGTCTCAAGTACTTAATGTTGGTTGAGCTGCACACGTAATTTCAGCAGTTGTCTTCAATGTATAGAGACAGTATGGTTTAGATGCCGGTTTAAGTCAATATACTGCATATCAAGTTGCTGAAACATGGTGTTCATGTCCTCCTCCTATCCTCACTAACAATTAATTACTATAGTTGCTCGTTAACATTTCTTCTGTTTTAAAGTCTACAGTGAAACTTCATATTTTCATGCGGAATACTGTATAATTTAGTGGGGTTTTTTAAAAACAAAACCAAAAACAAAACCAAATGCTTGAATTGCATAATTTTTAAATTCAATATTATTCCCCCCCCCCCCATTTTTGATGTTGTCTTGCAAGAAACTGGTAAAAGGCTTTAGCAGCTGTTAAATTAGTGTGGAATTCACATCACTGTTAGGCTTATCTTCATGTCCTATTTGCTGCTTGATGTGTATCAAGACTTCCTGTTGTATCAAAATGCAGTGGAATCTGAACCACTGACTAAGAAGCATATGTTGGAAACTGGAAACAGCCTCTGCATGATTGATACTTCACATTCAGGCAATAATGCCTAAGACCACTGATCATGTTATTAATATAAATTAAATAGAGTTTCCAACCCTCAGGTGCAAAATACACTTAAATTCCATCATATAAGAAAGGTACACATGCTTATCAACTGCTGCTCTTCTGTTGGTGTTGCTTGGTATAAATTGCCTAGTCCCTTTGACTCAATATTCATGTCTACTGTAATGGTGGAAAGGGACATTCATAACTATATATTAGGGCTGGGCGATATCAGGTTTTCAACATCACCAGCCAAACAGCACGGTTTGGCGATATACCGTGCTGTTGAGAAGACAAGATGCATTGGCCTCTGTCTGCGAGACACCAAGGTGAAACTGCCCCAGCTCTCACCTCCAGAGCTGATGCGGTTTCACCCAGGTGCTTGCCAACTGGACAATGCAGTTTCAGCTGGTGATTGGGAAGGTTCCCCCTCCCCAGCTGAAACAGCCCCCGTGCTGTCACTGCTCAATCAAGCAGTTTAAAGATGCAGAGGGAGGAACAAGCTATATTGATGCCTCGCCGATACAGCTTGTTTCTCCCTCTGCGTCACTTGAGGGCAGAGTGGGATGGCGGTTTCAGTCAACGATATATTGCGGGTGAAACCGCCGCTGCTCCTGAGTCCCTCTGCTAGCAGCGCCCGCTGGAGGAAGGAACTCTTGACTCCCTCTAGCAGACGCTGCTAGCAGAGGGAGTCAGGAGCAGTGGTGGTTTCACCAGCGATATACCGCTGAGTGAAACCAACGTCCCGGTCTGCTTCTCATCCCGGTCCTGGGCAATATATCAATATATTGTCCAGCCCCCCCCCCTCTATATGCATCCCTTAGATCGGACTGGGAACTTTTTTGGTCCAGTGGTCCAGATCTCTATCTCACCCGATACCCATAGGCAAATTTTGTCAGATGGGCAGGACCAGCCACCTTTCAGTCATCTGACATCATAATTATGCTCAGCTGACTGATGTTTGGCAGTCTTGCCTACCTGTCAGTGTTGGTCCACAGGGATGTGGGAAGAAACTAATGAGTGAGGCAGCAACTAGTAAGCTTGAGTCCTCCACTCACCAGCTGATGCACAGAGTTCAATCTTGCTCTCTGCAGGGGTTAAATCCTACAGTTTTGGCTGCAGGAGTAGACAACACAGGACTGGACCCTGCACATCAGAGTGATAGTTAAAAGGCCTGCTGAAAACTTTTCTGTTCTGCCAGGCCTAAAGGTAAAGGTACCCCTGACAGTTAGGGCTAGTCGCGGACGACTGGGGTTGCGGCGCTCATCTCGCTCTGTAGGCCAAGGGAGCTGGCGTTTGTCCGCAGACAGCTTCTGGGTCATGTGGCCAGCATGACTAAGCCGCTTCTGGTGAACCAGAGCAGCACACGGAAACGCTGTTTACCTTCCTGCCGGAGTGGTACCTGTTTGATGTGCTTTTGAACTGCTAGGTGGGCAGGAGCTGGGACCGAACAACAGGAGCTCACCCAATGGGGGGTTTTGAACCGCTGACCTTCTGATCAGCAAGCCCTAGGCTCAGTGGTTTAGACCACAGCGCCACTGCCAGGCCTATGCAGGCAATTAAGAGTCTGCCCCCCACAATGGTCTATTGAAGTTTGTTTTTAACCTTTCATTATGTTTTATGGTACAGTATATACTGATAAGGGATTTTTAAAATATACTGATAAGGGATTTTTAAACTAACTTGTTTTTTCTTGGGTTGTAAATACTTCCCTTAGCACCTAGCTAGTGCTGCTTGCTGCGAAACTTTCTGTCCACACAGCCTGATTGGTAGATGCTAGGCACAGACTATCAGGAATTTGTTCTGTACATCACCTAGTAAAGCAAGTCCATTCTACTTTACAGAAGTTTTGTGTGTGTTGTGAATGTGGAATGTCTATGTACAGCTGGTTGGACAATTATTGTTTTTTTAAAAAAAGTATAATAAAATTTAGGTTATGAAATTTACACTTAAAATTATTTGAACATAATCATATATGCCCATTTCTTTTCGTTTGAAGAAGACAAATAGGGTTTACATTTCAAAGGAGGGTTAATTGACTAGGAATGCATTAATGTCTTGCTTTCATGCAGTGGCATTTTTTTTTGCAGATTTCTGTAACAAGCTACTCTCATTCATAGCTACAGCTTAGGTACTTGTAAAACCACTCTACAAACGTAACAAATGTTTTAGGTCACTGTGCTGTCTTTGGAATTGTGCATATTTTAGATGTATAGCCTGTGATCACACTTTTTTGTATTGATGCTGATGAGCAAGACAAGCTTATTAACTTGTAAAGCATAAAAAATACTTGTTTTAAAAAAGTAAGTGACTTTTATTTCCTGTTTACATAGAGCATATTTCAGAAGAGTAGGCATGTTATTCTGCAGACAAAAACCAATACGGTACCTTTGGAGTTGGTGATTTCTTGTAATAAGATGCTCCATAGGCCCTGCTGTTTATGAGCTTTCACAGGATCAGAACAGAAAATAATGTAAGTGCCAATAGTCTGTTTGGCCACCAGAGGTCTCCTGTTCCCTTCTGTAGAAAACTATAAAACTGGAGAACATCATTCAGATTTCGTCCTATGCAAAAAAAAGGGAAAAAAAGAATGGCATGAGTAAAGTGTGATGTCACTGCTTTCCTGAAGATTTCTATTCAGGCAAACCTGCATGACTTGCACATCTTGGCTAGAGCACAAGCATGTCTCATACTTGCTACCTAAAACTGAAACTCCGCATGAAAACATTCCCGTCTTCAGATTTCCCTAGGTATGACTGATTGTCACATGTATCTAACATGCATAGCCATTCATCTTCATTATGAATGAATATTGGCAGAGCATAGTGATGCTTTAAGTAAAGCAGCCTTTGGCTTAAAACTTCATTCCACACTTAAGTATCTTCAGTGGCATTTGCTTACATGCCTATCTTGTTCTTAATGCTGCCCCTCTCCTCTCTAATGCTTTTCCCCCTTGCTCCCCTCTTTTCTTCCTTCTATCTATTGTCTCTTTCACTTTGAAAATTTAGATGCTAAGCTCCATTGGGCAGGGACCCTGTAACTTAAAAAAAACCAAAACATTATTCCTTTTCTTCCTATGATATTTTGCAGGGCGGGGGGAGTTTTTGAGCTGGCTTACCATGTTAGACACTTGACCTAAAGAAGCATCATGAAATAATTTCATATTGCTCCATTTCTCTTTTAGTTTTTGAGATAAACACAGCAGAGAAAATTACTTCTAATATAAGCTAAAAAATAATAATAGTGTCTCAGTATTTGCTTAAATACTTAACAAGCCTCTATATTCTGCAAAGAAAATCTAGGACAGTTCTTCCTTTTGAACTTCCATTTTTGCGCTGGGTCATACTTGAGTTACTGAGGGTTTCTCATGTGTGCCAGTCTTCTGTAACCATTGCAGTTTGATATAAAGTTGAATTTACTTGGTCACACTGAGGAGAATCCCTAAATGCAGGACTCCATAATTCAGCTTTTCTGTCCTCCATTCAAAATTACTATGGCTGCAACCTTGTGTGCAGTTAAATCCCACTGAAATCAATTACATGTAAGCTGTCTGACTTCACAGAATTGCAGTCCACGTTTGTGGGAATCTCAAAGTACATTTTATTTTCAATATAATTGCTGTGCTCAATACAAAGTGGTTAATAAATGAAAGGATTGTTGTCAACAAGGGTGTGTCTGCACAGGGACCTCGTACACTCCCATTCAAGCTAGAAAAAAGCTAAATTTGCTGCTGTTAGTCTTGCAACTTTAATATGCGAATCAAGTGTTCAATGTGTGTAAAATAAACACTGTGATGGAATCCAGTGGGGATGAGTTTGCTAGCTCCTCCCTCCTGTTGCCATTCCAAGCTCCCTCCACAAGAACAGCCATCTCTCTGCAGTTTTATGAAGCGGGGAGCTGCTTGTGCTTGTGGAGACCCCTGGGTGTTTTAGAAGTTAAGGCATGTTAGTGAACATGCACTGGTGGGGGGGAGGGAAAGGAAATGCATTGCTATTGGTTTGCATCACAGTTTTTCTTCAAGCCTCTGTGGAAACAGCTTGGCATCTTTTCAGTCGCAACTTGTTGCATGTATTTCCTGATTGGGAGATGGAAAGGGATTGACCTTATTTGTGCCTAGCTGGGCATTTGAGGAGAGAAAGTTAAAGGATTCAGTTGAACCCTGTCAGATACCTTGAACACGGGAATAAACCGTGCCCCTGGCTCAGTACTTTTCACCATTTTTTGGTACCAATTGAAAACTTGGAATCTCATCAGTCTGGGATTTCAGCAGGAGTTGCTCCTTCCTCTAAGACATAACACTCGCCCCCATCTGTGATGAAAGAGTGAGCTGCTTGAGTATGCAGACAGTGCCAGTCCTGCAGGATAGTTCCTACCCCTGATGATTGTGTTAATGCATAGACAATACAAGGCTGATAGACATAACCAAGCTTATTGTTCTAACCAAAGGCCATGACAAAGTTGCAGCAATAGTATCAATAAAATAATACAGAACATACATCCACAATGTACGGCAACACCCTTGTTGTAAGAGAGATGATATCAGAAACACCAGCAAGCTTAAATCTAGCTTGATTTCAGATTAAACCTCTGCATCACCACTACAGTTGATAGTGATTTTATCCTTTATTTTTGCTTTGGTTTTTTTTGCAGCCAGTGCGTAAAGGTAAAGGGGCCCCTGACCATTAGGTCCAGTTGTGACCGACTCTGGGGTTGTGGCGCTCATCTCGCTTTATTGGCTGAGGGAGCTGGCGTACAGCTTCTGGGTCATGTGGCCAGCATGACTATAAGCCGCTTCTGGCGAACCAGAGCAGCGCATGGAAACGCCGTTTACCTTCCCACCGGAGTGGTACCTATTTATCTACTTGCACTTTGACGTGCTTTTGAACTGCTAGGTTGGCAGGAGCAGGGACCGAGCAATGGGAGCTCACCCCGTCGTGGGGATTCGAACCGCTGACCTTCTGATCGGCAAGTCCTAGGCTCTGTGGTTTAACCCACAGCGCCACCCGCGTCCTTTTTATACCTACCGCCCACTAATGCATCTTTCTTGATGGTAAAATTTCCTTACCGCTCACCAGTGGAAGGAGGATTCCGCTTGTGCCATAGAACCCCCTACCGCCAACCTAGAATCCTGAAACGCCTACTAGTGGGCGCTAGGGACCAGGTTGACGACCCCCTGGCATCGAGGGCTACTTTGTGTGTTATGAGGCGAATATTGTCACTCAAAAGAAACCAAACCATTTCTGCTGGGGTGGATCTGCTTGCTTGTGCAAACAAAGGTTTCAGAAGCAGTCTCTTGGGTCTCTCTGTAAGGGGCAGGCTGTCAGATAATGAGTGACATAACAGAATGATGTATTAATGATGCAGTTACAAAGAAGCTTTCTGTTTAATTTTGTGGGAGTTCACTATGTTCTCAAAGTGAGTTTAAGAGCATACCAGTTTCATTTTAACCAACTTTATTGTGGTCATCACCAAAACTGCTGAGGGGTGGGAACATGGAGCATGCAATTCCGAAAACCCTAGTTGACCACAGCCTCTTATTCAAGCGCTAGGTTGGTAGCCATAGGCAAACTGATAGAGGAGGGATGAGACACACTGTCCATACTCTGTGCCTAGCAAGGAAACCAAGAGGTTTCTCACTCATCAGTGCCCTGCATAGAAATGCAATAGGCTGCTTGTTCAGGAGCAGAGCTCTGAGTCTCTCCTTTGCCAGCCCTGAGCAGCCTAGTTGCTGTTGTGTATTATTACTATTACTACTACTACTACTACTATTATTATTAGAATTTATGTACCGCCCTATACCTGGAGGTCTCAGGGCAGTTCACATAAAAAGAACACAGTATATAAAATAAAAATAAAAGCAATAAAATAATACCTCCCCCAAAAGAGCCACATTTTAAAAGGGTATGGGATGTTGACCAGGTCAACCAAAGGCCTGGTTAAAAAGGCAGGTTTTTCCTGGTGCCTAAAGGTGTATAATGAAGGCACCAGGCGAACTTCCCTGGGGAGAGCATTCTCCAGATGGGGAGCAACTGCAGAAAGAGCCTGTTCTCGTGTTGCCACCCCCCAGACCTCTCGAGGAGGAGGCACATGAAGAAGGGCCTCAGAAGATGATCTCAGGGTCCAGGTAGGTTCATATGAAAAGAGGCGGTCCTTGAGGGCCTGAGCCATTTAAGGCTTTATAGGTCAAAACCAGCACTTTGAATTGGGCCCGAAAACTAATTGGTAGCCAGTGCAGTCGGACCAAGATCGGTGTAATATGCTCAGTCCATCTTGCTCCGGTGAGCAACCTGGCCGCTGAATTCTGCACTAGCTGAAGTTTCTGAACTGTCTTCAGAGGCAGCCTTACGTAGAACGCATTGCAGTAATCTAACCTTGAGGTTACAAAGCCTAGACAACAGTAGTTAGGCCATCCCTGTCCAGATAGGGGTGTAGCTGTGCCACCAGCTGAAGCTGATGGAAGGCAGTCTGAGCCACTGAGACCACCTGAGCCTTGAGCGACAGCAAAGGATCCAGGAGTACCCCCAAGCCAAGACTGTTTCTTCAGAGGAAGTGTAACCCCATCAAAAGCAGGCAATCTCCCACCCATCTGATTTAGGGAACCACCCACTAAAAGTGCCTTAGTCTGAGTTTCAGTTTGTTGGCTCTCATCCAGTCCATTACTGAGGCAAGATACTGGTGTAAAGGCAAGTAAGTCCTGTGGTCTTCTTTACAAGGCTTGGTTAGGGAGACACAGATTATTTTGCACATAGAAAAATGTATTTAAGTAAGGATGACCTCTGTGTAGACAGGATGTTATACAGCAACCCTGAGATAAACCAGCTATTGTAGAGAGGTACAAATGCGTGTGAAATTGGCCCTCACTGACCTTTCTCACCAAAGCCTGAAGCAGGAAGGATGATAGAATGAATGTAGAAAAAGTGACCTTAGTCACAAGATAAAAGTTTAGATTTAGGCATGGGAACTATCTCACAACTGATTGTTGTGAGCTTATCTTGGACCGTTGTCCTTCTGAAGAGTAGGATAAAAATACATTTAATAAAATGAAGACTAAAAGGGAAGGGATTATACCCCTCTGCAGAATTTTAACATCCATTTTAAAAAGGTGTTAATAGTCAAATGGCAGTTAAATACTAGAAAGTTTTTTTCCCATTTCTTAACAATTAGTTAAAACCACAATTCTTTTATTGAAATGAGTTTATTTAAGGAGTTGGATAGCAAATTTGCTGATAGTGAATAAAGAATTGTTGTACTAAATTGCTGTCCTTGAAGTTGCCGGATTACTTTGATGATAACAGTTCTTTTGGAACTTGCTTGTGATATCTCAGATCTGTAAACTTGAGATCTGTGCAGTTCAGACAAAACAATCCCAAGTCTGGGAATGAGCTCGGTCTTCACACTCTCCCTCCACCTTCATCTTTCTTTCGTTCGTTCTTTCTTTCTTTCTTTCTTTCTTTCTTTCTTTCTCTCTCTCTCTCTCTCTCTCTCTCTCTACCCCCCCTCACACACACCCCTAGCTTAGTTTGGTTTGATATTCTGATTTGCTGGTAGCCCTTAAACTATAGTTTCCTACAATGGTCATATCATACGAAACTTTTTTAAGGATCTAGGATCCGAATAGTGTGTTTTGTCTGAAATCCTACATACACGTACTTTGAGTAGGTCCTGTTGAACTCAATAGGAATTGCTTCTGTGTAGACATGGATAAGTCTGCACTGTAAGTTATTTATTTACCGATAATTGCAGGGATATTATTATTCATAATTTAGTGAAATGCCTAAATATATTGCATCCAGTCAGTGTTGGATATATGAGCTAGGCACCAAATGGCGCCTTAAAATCTAGGTTATAGTCACTGCAACAAAATGTCTAATCGCAAGGGGGTTTGGACTAGATAACCCTTGGGGTCCCTTCCAATGCTACACTTATACAATTCTATGTTCTTAACTACGGTGCTTGACTGTAGCTTACAACAACAATTCACTTGTCCCAGTATGCAAGAAGGAGAAGCACACACAGGGGGAATGGAAATGGTATTAACCATTATCTGTGGCAGAGGTTTTTAAACTATGGTTGCCATCCTAGCACCCAGAAATCGCCACGCATTTGGACCTGTATCAGTAGCAAAACGTGCCTGGCATCTGGTGAATTTTGAATGCTACATCGAGTATATAAAGATGCAGTATTGCTCTGACTTTTTAAAAAAAAACCTCCTTGCAGCGTATCGGGTCTCAAAACGTTTTTTAAAAACACCTTAAGCCCAATTGATGGTGATGTTTGTTCAAATGTAAGGTCTGTGGAGCTCAGTGAGGTATACTGAGTTTATCCCTCACTGTTGCTGACTTGCACACATTTATTTAGAAATAAGCTCCACTGAAAATCAGTTGAACTGAATGTGTTTTTGATGTAGACAGGATTTGCTGTCCGTCATTATAGAAAAAGTTTGTGAAAATCGGAACACTAGATGGCAGGCTGCAACTTAAGTTAATAATTTAGGTTTTCTAAGTTGGAACACTGTTGAATTACTATAAAATGTAAAGTGGATTGATGCATGACTAGAAATAGGTGCAGTACTGGCTTGTGTGTTTATGAACTGGGAGGGAAGCACTATATTTCATAGAATCATAGAATCATAGAGTTGGAAGAGACCACAAGGGCCATTGAGTCCAACCCCCTGCCAAGCAGGAAACACCATCAGAGCACTCCTGACATATGGTTGTCAAGCCTCTGCTTAAAGACCTCCAAAGAAGGAGACTCCACCACACTCCTTGGCAGCAAGTTCCACTGTCGAACAGCTCTTACTGTCAGGAAGTTCTTCCTAATGTTTAGGTGGAATCTTCTTTCTTGTAGTTTGGATCCATTGCTCCGTGTCCGCTTCTCTGGAGCAGCAGAAAACAACCTTTCTCCCTCCTCTATGTGACATCCTTTTATATATTTGAACATGGCTATCATATCACCCCTTAACCTCCTCTTCTCCAGGCTAAACATGCCCAGCTCCCTTAGCCGTTCCTCCTAAGGCATCGTTTCCAGGCCTTTGACCATTTTGGTTGCCCTCCTCTGGACACGTTCCAGTTTGTCAGTGTCCTTCTTGAACTGTGGTGCCCAGAACTGGACACAGTATTCCAGGTGAGGTCTGACCAGAGCAGAATACAGTGGCACTATTACTTCCCTTGATCTAGATGCTATACTCCTATTGATGCAGCCCAGAATTGCATTGGCTTTTTTAGCTGCCGCGTCACACTGTTGGCTCATGTCAAGTTTGTGGTCAACCAAGACTCCTAGATCCTTTTCACATGTACTGCTCTCAAGCCAGTTGTCACCCATCTTGTATTTGTGCCTCTCATTTTTTTTGCCCAAGTGCAATACTTTACATTTCTCCCTGTTAAAATTCATCTTGTTTGTTTTGGCCCTCTAATCTGTCAAGGTCGTTTTGAAGTGTGATCCTGTCCTCTGGGGTGTTAGCCACCCCTCCCAGTTTGGTGTCATCTGCAAATTTGATCAGGATGCCCTTGAGTCCATCATCCAAGTCGTTGATAAAGATGTTGAATAAGACCGGGCCCAAGACAGAACCCTGTGGCACCCCACTAGTCACTCTTCTCCAGGATGAAGAGGAACCATTGATGAGCACCCTTTGGGTTCGGTCAGTCAGCCAGTTACAAATCCACTGAGTGGTAGCATAGTCAAGACCGCATTTTACCAGCTTCTTTACAAGAATATCATGGGGCACCTTGTCAAATGCCTTGCTGAAATCAAGGTAGGCTACATCCACTGCGTTCCCTTCATCTACCAGGCTTGTAATTCTGTCAAAAAATGAGATCAGGTTAGTCTGACATGACTTATTTTTCAGAAATCCATGCTGACTATTGGTGATCACAGCATTCCTTTCTAGGTGCTCACAGACTGTTTGCTTAATGATCTTTCCCCCTCCTCCTCCCCGTTTACATAAAGGTTTAAATAAGATTTTATAAAATTATTTCTGAAAGATTCATTTCCAACATAACAAAGAAAGAAAAAATACAGTTGGGTATCCACTGAAGGTTTGAACCCTTGGAGGAAGAAGATTAAATTGGGAGTCCTGGAAAAGGCTGCTTCTTGGCTTGTTTCAGCTTCACATGGGCATAGAGTGACACTTCTGTCCTTATGCGTCATCTCATTAGGCCCACTTGATTCTTAGATGGGGAGAAATAAATCAGCTTAAATTCAAATTGTTCAGTTTCACTGGGGAGCGGTGGTTGTTTTCCCAGATCTAAAAGAAATTGAAGGTCAAAGAGCTGAAAATGCTTTCACTAGTTGAGAGAATCAGAGTTTCCGGAACTCGTCTGTCAGCTGTAGTGGGGAATGATGCTGTTCTAATGTCAGGTGTCACTCTTCTTAATTAGAAAGAACCTAGCAGGAGGTAGAGAGTGATACCTATGCAGGTCACTGAGGATGGTATTAGGGGCTTAATTTACCCTCTGAAACTAGTTAAAGGACTTACTTTGACATCAATAAATGAGATTCTGAAATCCAAAATTAAGTTATGCAGAACATGGATATAAAGCTTTTGACAGTTTTAAAATAAAGCTCACTACCATTACTTTGAAAAACACAAGTGGCAATATTCTAACTAAAATAAAATGTTTACTTTCTTTGAAGACTACCAATTTGTAGATTAATAGTAACTCAAAATGGTTCTTAACATTTCCAAGGCTATTTGTTTTAAAGCTTTGCTTCTCTTCCCCCTCCCGTTACCCTAAGAACAGACTTATTAATAAAATATGATAATAGCAATTGATCTTTCCAGCTGTGTCTCTGGACCATAAAAAGGAGACTGGTTTATTGTATGTTACTTCAGAATACCAAAAGAAGCATTACAGCTGATTCTTAATGTGTGAAACCAACTTCTTTAGCAAAATTAGGCTTCTGGAAGGAAACTTCTGATTGGAAACAATGCTTTGTGGTCTTGGTTTTTGACATAGCACTTTGCAAGTCAAATTGTTATTAAGTTGTTGTGACGCATTAAGTTACATTATCAAAAACTCCAGAATAAGGCTTTGAAAATGATACTGGTAGTTTAATTGTTATGGTTCTTTCCTATAAAATTGTGCCTTTATTTCATCTTGTAAGTACTGTACAAATAAAATCTTACACTAAAACTATGCTTTTATAAATACTTCAAAACTATTGAATAACGCACTCAAAGCAAATAATGCACAAAATAAAATTATTAAATGGTGCAGCAGTAAAACTGCTAGCCTTTCTTTCTTTCTTTCTTTCTTTCTTTCCCACCCATCTGGCTGGGTTTCCCCTCTGGGCGGCTTCCAACAAAATATTAAAATACAATACAGTGGTGCCCCGCAAGACGAATGCCTCGCAAGAAGAAAAACTCACTAGACGAAAGGGTTTTTCGTTTTTTGAGCTGCTTCGCAAGACGATTTTCCCTATGGGCTTGCTTCGCAAGATGGAAACGTCTTGCAAGTTTGTTTCCTTTTTCTTAACACCGTTAATACAGTTGCGACTTGACTTCGAGGAGCAACTCATAGAACGCAGTGTGGTAGCCTTTTTTGAGGTTTTTAAAGACTTTGGTGATTTTTGAAGCTTTTCCAAAACTTTCCCGACACCGTGCTTCGCAAAATGAAAAAAATCGCAAGACGAAAAAAATCGCGGAACGAATTAATTTCGTCTTGTGAGGCACCACTGTAGTCTATTAAACATTAAAAGCTTCCCTAAACAGTACATTTGCAAAGCTAAGCAGGGTCTGGTATGGTTTCATATTGGATGGGGGATCAGGTGTTGAGCTTCCTACATTGCAGTGTGTTGGGCTAGATGACCCTTGTGATCCCTTCTAACTCTACAATTTGGTGATTCTATGAAATGCAGTTGGTACACGTATTGTAAATTGGTTTAAATGTGCTCTCTTGGTTGCTTGTAGATACGGTCCCTGAAACATTCATGTGTGGTTTTTAAAAAGAGCTGCACTCCTTCTTTTTTTTCTGTAAAAGTTGGAAAGCGTTCTAGAACATTGAATCTGCAATATTCTAGATCACAATGTGCAGGTTAGTGAGGGTTCCTGTATGTTTACCTGATTAGATTCCTCCAGACAGCAACAGATCAAGGCCTGCTGGTCCTGCCTTCATTAGTACTCTACTCATAGCAGATAAATGTAAGTTACTAAACCAATTGGAATATGGTACTTCTTTACACTTCATTTCATTAACATTTCTAGAAGTAATTGCTTATTTCCTGTGGGTTGTGACTAGCTATGTGCTGTTTTATGAACAGGGCAGGGAATGGGGAATCATAACTGCTATAGCTCACTGTTTCTCCGCTGGAATAATTGAAATAGAAAATGTAACTCGGTGTCAGTCGCTAGCAGTAAATTTACAGTAGGGATGGGGAACCTGTGGCCCTTCAGATATTGCTGCACTACATCTCCCGTAATTCCTGGCTGGCTGGAGTTGGTTGGATTTGGAGTCCAACAAATCTGGAGAACCATAGTTTCCCCGTCTCTGATTTCTACAAGTATGCAGTTTTATGCTTTATACTAAAGCTATCACAGCTATCCCTCGGGAATATTTATAGGAAGCCACCTAGATGCTGCTCCCCATTATTCCTTGCAATGCTGAAAAATGGATGCCTCAACTTTTAGATTGCACACTGCTATTGAAGGTAGAATATTATTGGGCTGGCCCTGCTGTTGTACTGAAATGCTATATGATGAATTAGCATTGTTTCTTTGTTGTTGAAGACCAGTTACTTTTTTCCTGTAGGGTGCTCAGAATAGGATCATGTTTAACCCTATATACACATATTTTTAATGGTCAGTTAAATGTCTTGGAAAGGCATGGTGAGCCATATGTAAACCTTTATTCTTAATCTAGGACTTCCTTGTGAAGAAATGTTAAACATCCTTTTCAGGATGTTACAAGCCTCAAAAACTTAATGTCATACATTATTTTATATTCTTCTGTTTGGAAAGATTGCTGTTACTGCCTCCGTAATCAACTCCATCGTTTGCAGTCATTGCATTCCTCAAGAGAAAAACATGAATATGTGAACAGGGTCAGTTTCTAAATGAGCGCTTTCTTTTGGTAACAGCCACTGTTCAGTTGTTAAGCTGAGCTGAGGATATCTGCTGCTGCAAAACCTATGGCAGATTAGTACATTTGATGCAGCTATTCACAATGGGTAATATCGTTATTATTATTCAGGAAGAGTAAGAATAATATTACCAGTTGTAGATAGTTGCATCAACTTTGTTAGCATCTGCCGTTACAACATCACTGTATTTGAACGTAATCTATCCCGGAAGACCGTTTGACAGCCAAGGTGCAATGGGTGGTCAGCAATTTCAATGGAGAAACGTGCCTTGGAAGCCATTGGACTTCCGAGATGTGTTCGAAAATGGAAGCATTCACTTCCAAGTTTTTGGCGTTCGGGTTCCAAATCGTTTGGCTTCCAAGATGCTCGAAAACCGAGGTTCCACTGTAGTACTGATTTGTTGTCTCCTCAATCATGAATGGCTTTTGCAAGGTCCATAGCTGATTTGTAGACCACATGCTTAGCATGCAGAAGGTCCTATGTTTTTGCCATCTCCAGTTAATATTGGTGAGGGACATCTGCTTAAACACTGGAAAAGCCATGCCAATTAGAGTAAATAACATTGGGCTATGAGATACCATGAAAAGAATTTGGGCTCTTCACGTATTCCCTTAGATTGCTCAAAAAACCTTGAAGGAGATTTTGACCATTTGAAGGAGACTTGAGAAACTAAGTTGTATATTTATTCAGCAGCTTCCTCCTCTGCCATTGCCCAGCCTTCAGCAGAAACAACCCTGCCAAACCCTTGAAAAAAGGAAGGAGGTACCAGTGGTGGCACAGGGTTGCAAAGAGATAGGCTTATGTCTGTGAATCTTACCGACTGCGAGATGCCCCTTCTGTATTGCTAGCTGTCCCCGTACTAGGAAAGGCAAACCAAATGACCAGAGAGGATACCTTGTCTGGCTTAGATGAATATGACCATTTCTTGCTGGTATTGTGGAGTTTGTGGGTTTCTATGTTCTTGCAGTAAATGACTCATGGACATGCCTAAGAGCATCTTTTTCATCTTAGAATCAGGCAGCTGCCTGCTTTGGATCTGGTTTTCAGTGGTAAGGGGAGAACAAGTGGCGGGGATGGTGGATAAACTCCATTTCAAGTCAGCATTAGTCTTGAAGGGTCCTAGAGTCAACTTGAATTGAGTATGCTTTTATGAGTAGGGAGAGCCTGTGTTTCAAGACCCATTTACTCAAATTTCATCAGCATCACTAATGAAAAAGATACTCTAGCCATTTTTGTTCATTGTTTCTTGAGAGTTTACAAGTGCATAGGGCCTTGTGCAACCACCATGATAATCATGTATCTCCCAGCGGCTCCACCGCAGTACAGAAGGATGGGTGGATACTCATGCAATTCCAACAAGAGCTATAAATTAAGGACTGGGTTGTAAATTTCCTAATTGCATACGCCAACCTTGCAAATAAATCTGCCGAAGTTACTAGCTTACAATAATGTTTATTAGGAGATTTTATTAGCCCACAAAAAATCTCAGAGTCTACAAATGTTTCCTTCACTGGTAGCATGCAGGTGATTCTTATCATAAGTTACAAGGTAAATGCCTACTTAAAATGCCTACTTATGCCACTTTAAAAGTAGTCAGATTCTAAACAGTCTGTCAGAATCACTTCATGTATTACATTTTTAGCATAATATCTTAGATCCTAAGTTCCTCTGTGTGTGTGTGTGTTTGAGTGTTAGGGGTTAGGCAGAGGAAGGACTAGACCATGTGAAAAATGAACATAATATTTTAGCTGCAGTTCATTCATTTTCAGTGTTGTATTCTTGTTATAAAAAAGCGTGCCTAGACATTCCGTTGTTGCGCCCTTAACCTAGGTTTAAGGTGTCATTTAGCTCCTAGCTTTCATATCTCAGTTTCTAACACTGGCCCTGAAGCTGCACTGAGTACCCAGGTGGACAGAAA